GATTCTGCTTTGCGGACATTTTCCACTCTGCGACTATTTTTGTTTCTCTCCCTCTGTTTCTACTTTGCGGACGTTTTCTCTTAATTGGAGGAATAAAATGTCCGCAATCAAGCTGTAGCCATCTCAATAAAGCCTGATATATAAATATATATGGTTGAACGTTATTTCATTCTCTCTTCGCAACAGTGAAAACCGGAACCCGTTATCCTGTTTTTATAAATAAAATAAAAACACTATTCAAAATATACTCATAAAAGATCTTTTCACAAATGGGTAATATAAAATAGCGATGTTTTGATCACAAAAACGATTAGACCTTAGAGTGAAGGAAACAGTAGTAGAGTCGCTTTGAATGTTTACTCTGATGACTGTTGATTGTACGTATTTTTTACTACAAGGAACAACGAATCCTAGATGTCTACGTACAGCAGGTGGGCGCATCGATCTCTTTGCATAAGAATGACGGGATAGTTTGCCTGTTTTCATTTATCAAATTTAGTTCAAGTAAATATAACTCATCAAATAATAAAAAATATTAAAGACAGAAATAATTTTTAATCTTTTTCATGTTTTAGACATAAATATAAAGGTACATTGTCCACCGATATTATTACTACGTTGACAGTAATTACATTTCAAATGAATAGATATTTGACAATATTTATTCTATTGTTTGGTTCTTTTGGCAATGTTATAAATTTATTGGTATTTTACCAACCTAAGAGCATCGTACAAATCCTTGTGCTGTCTATTTTTTTTCTATGCTTCAGCTGCTGGCCTAATTGCTCTTTGTTCTGGTTTACTTAGTCGATTCTTTGCTGGTTTCTCACTTGATAGATCAGCAACAGATGCTACAATATGTAAATCACGAGCATTTATTGTTTGGGTATCAGCAACGGCTTCATCCTGGCGTATAACATATGCTACTATTGACCGATATTGTACAAGTTGTCGTGAAGTACGTCTTCGTAATTTAAGCAATCTTCGCTACACTCGTAGAGCCATGATTATTACGGTTGTCAGTGCATTGACGGTATTTGCTGAAACTTTCTATTGTCACGTACCAAATCTTCGAAATGCTCCATTGGCAGGTTATGCTCAAAATATGGTATGTCGTTTTTACAACGAAACAGCTTCAGCGCTCATATACGTTTTTATCCCGTCGACAATTCTGTTTATATTTGGATATGCAACTATACTAAATGTGAGAAAATTCACATTATTCAATTGCACCGGCGGCGCGTACAAACGGAGCATTAATGACAATGAAAAAGGCAGGTCGCCAATTGATTCAAATGTTAATTGCTCAAGTTATCCTATTGACTATATTCAACATTCCTTTAGCTGTTCAATGTCTCTATTTAACATCAACATTGAATAGTACCAAAACATTGTTAAGATCGACAATAGAAAATCTATATTTTCAGTTATTCTATCTTCTTAGTTTTATGGGCTTCGGGGTGCCATTTTATATTTATAGATTAACGGGGACTGTCTTCAGAAAGGACTTTCTAGTATTAGTTCAAAACGTTTATTGGAGATTGAAAAGGATAGCAATGTAAATATGCAAGACTGTTCGTAAGCATACTTGCTAATTAATGATGTTAAATTACAGTGACCCTCAAAGTCGATCGTAAACTTCACCAAAAAAATATTAATTAATAAATAGAAACTGTATGATTAAACATTGTTATATTTTATCCTTTTGAAAAAAACTTTCACTGAGAATCAAATGAGACTTTACTAAAAATAATTTTAAAATTTATCTTTTCGTTCTAAAAATTAAAATGCAACTTGTTTAATACTACAATTTCTATTTATTTTTGTGTAGTAGTTATGTGATCAGTTTTGAGAAAAATCAGTGAACATCATTGCTAATAGTTCTGACCTCGCTTAGCTAAGATAAAGTAGAAAAACGAGCCGAAAGTTCGATGAAAACTTCAATTTTGTTTTTATTCTGGCAACACTTTGAGATATTAGCGAAGTAAAGTCCTTTGCTAGATGACGTATTAGTTTTTGAATTTCACTTTTACGTAACGATAAAAGGAATGCACTACTATCTAACCGATCCGCTATAAGAATAGTGACTAGCATGACAATAAAAATCTCTAGTATTACCATGAATGAAAATAAATGTTGTGAAAATTTTCGTGTACAGTTCAATCAACTTCAACACTATTACATGTTGAAAACAATTACTACAATTATGTTGTTGCTACTTCTAAATTTTGTAAACTTAAGTAAATAAAAAAGTATTTTTGAAAAAAATAAATATCCGAGTTTCTGTTATTGTATCTATCGTTCTGTTATACTATCGTGGTCATGGTCAGCACACGTCAAACCCTGAAAATATTGCTAAATTTCGATATCGTGTTGTAATGAAATGACGTAGAGATGTTATCTCTTTCTAACAAAAAAGAGCAAAGTGTTTAGTGCAAAACTATACAGATGAATATCATTCAAAATGTTTGATAAAGGCTACAGAAGATTTACAACAAAAAGCATCGAAAAACGCTTCCCTTAAGTTTGATGACATTTTTCGTGTTCAAAAAAAAACTGTTTAAGCTTTTTCTTCATCATTATGCTATGTTTTTGAGAATCGTATATATATATAGTTGCTTATGACAAAGAAGATCTTCATGTGATATTAAAATAATTGGTCTAGCACACAAGAGAGTATATCATTAACAAATGTTATCTTGTGGATTTATAATTTTCAAATAGGAAAACAAATGTTTGGTTGCGTATCTCATAGAAGATGTGTGTCCTATTTCAAATAATATCTTGCGATAGATGTAGGGTGTGGTCAGATCTTCTGAAAGGACGTAGAAAGTTTCTACAGTTTGAACATTTTTCTGATTATTTTCTGATCTTCTGATTTTTGTGAATTCTGAAATTTTTATATCAAAGTGTGGTTAGGATGTAGACGTGGCTGGGCGTCTTCACTTCACCCATACCCACCCTTGATAAATATATTCGAAGAAATGGAAAATAAAAACAATAGTATCAACTTGATAACCTTTATTTTTTTCTTCTTGCTTACCTAAATAGAGTATATATGTGGTTTGCTTTGCTCTATTTTTCTCAACGGATTTAATATTAGTGAAAGAGTTTGACACTATGCGTCTTATTGTTTGGTTTTCTCATATAAAATAAAAAATATTTTCAGTGGTTTATCTTTTTTTGTAGTGAAATATCTTTGAAAATAAAGTATAAGCCAATTAACGAAAACCCAGTAGAGCATTCAGTGCCAGCACATTAGTATTCAAGGTAGTTCAGCAAACGGCATTTTTTCATTTAAACTAGAATTTATTGACAGAAAATACCGTTCCCTGAAATATCTCAGATAATATCCAGTAGTTTGCAAAAAATTGCCTTTTCTGATTTCCGATTTTGCAAGAAAAAATTCTAATTGTCTTCGGATTTTGAAATAATATTTTCTGATTTTTAATTTTTCGATCTGGCCACCCTAAACAGATGACTCATCAAGCTTTTTGTTGTTCATATGCAGCATGCAGTTTGTGCCCATCTTTTACCGCGTAGAATTTATTTTTCCTACAGTGACGAAAAATGCAGACATCAGAAGATATCATCGAACTGTCCGTGTCAGTCATATTTCAAATGTGAAGAGCCTCTTTTTTCTGCTATAAGACTTCACTACTCCAAATGGTCATATTAAATGAAATATTTTTCAAGTTTAAAATAAAAGAAAGTTGCAGAATCATTTTTCAATACCGTTTGTTCTAAAGTTTCTGTAGCCTTTATCAAACATTTTGAATGATATTCATTTGTATATTTTTGTACTAGACGCTTGGCTCTTTGTAACAAAAAAAAAGAGATAAAATCTCTACGACATTCCATTACAGCGCTTTATCGAAAACAAAATCAATGCAGAACTTTCGCGCCTGCCGTTATATACACTCGTATCCTCGTTTCAATGTGTATGATGATTCCCGTAATACGTTATAGTCAGTAAATGTACAATGAACTTTGTATCAATTTTAATCTTTAAATATCTGGAAAAGTATTTTAAAAAAATCTTTTCCTCATCTTAGATATTCTTTTATAAAACATAAGAATAATTTTGTCGCACATCCGATTCTCTTTTTTATTTTTAACTGATATACTCAAGAAAAACAACCCAACTGGAACACATACCGGACTCTATACTCCCTCCATAGTTAAACTATCTATCGATTGACATCGTCGTTTCAATCATTAATTAAATCCAATGCAATGAACAAGAAAAACGAAATAAATCATTTGATTGCTGCTGTTCCTCACAATATGAACTTTCAATATTAATTAATAAGATAGAGATAGTTTTCTATTCGAGCATAATCATTTTACAGATACATGTAAATTAACTACTATGTAGAAACACTTGCCATCAATAGGATCCGATAGACACAGGTATATTACATTGTTCAGCAAGTCGATATCTATTCAAACTATATAACGATGATATATTTGATTTTCATCGTCGTATAAAACAAGAACACAATGAGAATATTCCAACTGACACAAAAAGGTTGCACTATCATTCTTAACTAGTATGCTTACACATCATCGATCTTGTTGATTGGATATGAAGAGAAATAGAAAAAAGATTATCATCGATAGGTTAACATTTTTCTCTTGAGACACATATGTGTATATCTTCATCGTTATGATCGATATCGAAGAACAGAACAATTTGCAATAATGTCTGCCTATCAATAACCATTATTAGATGTAGAACTTGAATGTTACTGTTATTTCTAACCAATAGAAAAAGAAAATAACGAACAAGTGAATAAATGGGCTCTCTCGATAGTCTTACACACTAAATCTAATAGATAGTAGATTGGCGATGTCGTATCAAATTGTATTTAGATCATACGTAATCGCTTTAAAGTCTATGTACGTAAGGATCGTTGTTTTTTCTTCTTCTTTAAAGAAAACAAAAGTTTAAATCTGTAAATAATTTACAAAAGGATTTAATCTGAAAGGAAATGAGAAAAGTCAATCATCAAACAACAAACGATCTCTTTATTTATTTCTTTATGATGATTATTATTACTAGACTCATCAGAATATAATACATAATCATAAAGAAATAAGATCGTTTCCACCATATTAATTAAACAAAGGTAGACATGTTAGAAATTTCTAATCTCATTTTAATATCATTTGTTTTTACAAGCGAGAGATCATAATATTGATCTTTTAACGTCTTGCTCATTAAAAAAAAATCTAAGAACATATGTAGCAAATCATGGATCCGTCAATAGTACATACAATCGATAAGAGCAAAATGCCGTTCTATCTTTCTTTTAAACTTATCAACGACAAAAGAACACATACTGTGGTTTGTCTTAATTGAATGAAAGCGCGTGAATGTATATATCTACTGCTGGTGATCATTAAGAAACATGATATGATTGACGAAAGAAGAATCATCAAGAGCAAGTGTAGAGAGCAAGAGTCAATATTTACATATGGATGGAAATAATCGATTGAAAATGTTCAAACGAAATGAATATGTGAGCAATTGACACAAATCTGTTTCCTATATTGATTAATAAGTACTGCCGACTTTATTCGATAAGAATCGTTGAATATATAAAGACATCAATATATACAGCACGTGTATTAGTACTAATGCTATTCAATCAATCAAAGTAGAAACTTATCGAATTTCAAAAGTTGAAAGGCTAAGACTAATATTCGAAACGATTAATTGAATTTGCAAGAGAAGAGAAAATATGTTTCACAATAAAAAGAAAAGAAAAGAAAGAATTCATTTTCTTTTATTTCTTGAGAACTAATCACCGCAAGCATGTCAACAAATGTTTATTAATATTTAATTAGTATATAGCTAGATGTTTTTCTCTCGTGTTTTCAACTCGTATAATTAGATTCTTACCGGCTGTTAAGACAATATAGGGAAAGTTTGATCATTGAAATATTTGTTTTGTTTTTGACAAATCTTCTTTTTTATTCATACGACAAATTCAAGTTTAGTTCAACAAAGAATAAGTCAAGTGTTGCCTTTTTTCTTTTGTCTACATTTATTTGTAGACTTTTATTCATTGCTAATCAGCATATTAATTGAAAATAATGCACAAGTATGTAAATCATTCTATTTTAAGATCGTTTACTTTTTGATACTTTAATTAATATAGTCATCGAATTCTTGTCCATACCTATCGTGTTGTGAGTGTTCAATCAAATACAAAGTTTTTCTTTTTCTCTCCATTCAGAATGCATATAAATGGTCTGCTAAATTGCTGAGAGAATTGCTACTATTAGTGCATATGTTTCAACGAATAAGAAAAAAGAACTCTCTCATTCTTTCTCTTTCTTTTATTCGTTTAACACACACGGGTATCATAATCATAATTTGTTAGCGTATATTATGTGTAATCATTTCAATATGTCTTTTCTATTGATAGATGTTGAGATTTCGCTTCATATATACATATACTTAAGAGGCACAGAAAAAAAATCGAGTGTACGTGATCATACATAGATATTTGCTAATCAAAAAAGAATACATATATATATATAAGTATACTTTCTAGATTAAAATATATTCTGATGAGTGATGATCAATTGGAACCAATGGTGCCTTCAATTGGCAATGATGATAAAATGTTAACAAATCCATTGATAAATTTTAATTCAACGAAAAAACAAATGACTGCAACAAATTGTATTCTTTCACCTAATACCATAAATTCTTCGTCGGCATCATCAATGAAATCAATTTCTAATCGACGAACATTTAATATCTGTGATATACTCGCTAAACCATCACCAATTGTTGATAGTAATAATAATAATAATAATAATCATGAGGTGCTTCAATGGAAATATTTACTTGAACAACAATTACATTCAGATGATGAAATTAATGATTCAATGAGTGACTGTGATGTATCTGGTAAAGAAATTTCTTGAGAATATTTTCTTGAGAATATTATTAGATTTTTATAGATGGTTGCTCATCTGATATAGATGATAAAGTTCCTGATGATGATTTAAATGTTTCAAAATCATCGTCAACTAATTCAGATAAACCCTCGAAATCACGACGACAACGAACAGCATTTACTTATGAACAATTAGTTGCATTAGAAAATAAATTTAAACAAACACGATATTTATCAGTTTGTGAACGACTTAATCTTGCATTATCATTATCACTGACAGAAACCCAAGTTAAAATTTGGTAGGCAATTGTTTTCCTTTTGTTTCCTAAATAATTTCGTTCTATGATTTTGATTTGAAATAAAGGTTTCAAAATCGACGAACAAAATGGAAAAAACAAAATCCCGGTCTCGATGTTAATTCTCCAACAACCAATTCATCATCATCATCAATCGGTATTCATTCAGCTGTTGCAGCCGCCTATGTTGCTTCCCTTTATAATTCTCAACAACAAATTAATGGATCTTCATCAGTGAATCCATCATATCGATTATTATCACCACTTTATGCTGCTTCATTATATGCTAATGCCAGAAAATTTACTTGACATATTAACTATAACGAATATATATATATACATACACATATACATAGTCTCTACGAGATTTTTTTATTATTACAAACAAATAATGTCGTCATGTTTGACAAGAAATTGTGAAAACAGCGGCCATATCGATTAACATTCATGAATGTGTCGAATAACACATTGTTGATGTCACTCAAATACCATCGTTTTTTTTTAATATTCAACAAGATTATCATCTTTTTCTTTTGTTCTTCATTTGATTAGAAATATTCGTATCTATTTGGTAAATATAGAAGGAAAAAAATTGAAACCGTTTCCTCGTTGAGACTTTTATTCTATATAGAAATATATAGATATACTAATAAGAACAATAAAAACACTTGTGTACTTATATGTGTATGCTTCTCATCAACATTGCAGATATCGACATTGATATTTTCTTAATGATTTACTCAGTATTTTTCATTGATTATAAGGTCATAATCAAAAACATGTGCAGTAACGATGAAAATCAAATTGATCATTATTGATTTTCGTTTTAAGAACGATTGTTCTCTTGAGAATATCTGTGAAATAGATTTTATGTTTTTTAAATAAACAATCAAATCGAGATATAATGCTGATGTAACTATTGTTTTTATATTTTGATGTCCAATTTATTGAAGGAAGGCATTTGAGGATATGTCAAATATTTTTATTGATAAAAGAAAAGTTTTAGTTCGACATTGATTTGTGTTGTGGTGTTAATTCAATTCAATACAACTTGAACGAGTTGAATTATACATTCTCATTGAATTGGTTATTTCGTTGCTCAAACATTCGGCATTGAAAAATAAAATCTAATTCTATCAAAATTTTGTACCTATCAATATTGAATGATACACTATCTAGTGATCTCTGCGATACGAAAATAGCTAAGAGTCTTCTTTAGACCGTTTACTCTGATGATATCACAGAGCTGTGGAGTTTAGAACTCTAGGCAAAAATTCATGAACGATTAAGAATTCAATTTTTTTCGAAGCAGCTTGCACTAAAATACTCATTTTTTTTCTTTCTACATATTTATGTTGAGATCATAAAAGTTGACAATATCGATTGATCATATTGATTCATCGTTTACATGGAATGATTACTATGCGAAATATTGATTACACTACACCTAGTCACAACGATCCATTTATCCTTTGCTATAGATGACTTTAAAAATATTTTTACGAGTTACTTATCTGTTACAATTTTCAACACTGATTAGAAAATCTGAATTAAGTCTTTTATTGAAAGATAACACAGAGCTGATACAAGCACGAAGCATATGGGATACGAATGAAAAATATGATTACTTGTATGCCATGTTTTAGACGAGATGAAACAAGAGTATGAGTACGTAAATTAAGTTGAACATCATTAAGTTTTTAGTGCACACTTTTGTAGCTTGAATAATAATCTAATAGGAACTTTTTTCAATATATTTTTTCATGGAATCAAGTAAATAATTCAAATAGTTCTCGAAAATTTTTATTATGATTTAATTGTTTATCTGATTACCAGGATTAACATTAGATTGAGTATTTTGATAAATGTTTAGCAGCAAAAGCAAGTAATTATTACAAATCTCAAACAATTTCTTACCAATAAATTTGACATCGTATTATACACACTAATATCAACATCATTGGTATATTGTAATAAATGCATGGCATGGATTGCTTTCATAGCTACTGATAGAAAGTTAGGATTACATTTTCTTTTATCAGTTCATAATAAAAGGTAGAATAATTTCTCATTAATAACACATAATCTGCACAAGTATTTTCAGAAAGTCGAAAACTGTTTTTGCGACAAGAATATGGATAAAGTATCGACTAGCAAATGAAACTGATGGATGGTAAAAAAAGATCGATCCTACTATTCTTTAATCCTTTTAATATTGTATATTTTTCAAGATTTTAATAGTTTTTTAGCTCATTAGCACAGAATAGTTGTAATCAAGATTAAATTCTTGATGTAAATGGTCCTTAACTTGTAAACGATGACATTTTTCTCCGGCACATTAGAAAGACCTAATGTTTTGGATTCACTTATGGTTTCACTAGACCTTCCACTTAATATAATTAAACAGGAAATCAAAATTTTACCGGAGACCGAGTTGCTAAGTGGCTCCACTGACCCTCTCTTAAAGAACAATAACTACAAGTAATGTGATACATGAAAAAGAGAAAAATAAACGTTCATTTATCAGGGACGGCGCGAAGCAACAAAAATGTAGGGGGGTTACTTGAAAACGGGAGGTTTTTTTTTCAAAAATCGGAGTAAATCAATAAAAATCTCTTCTATTTTCTTCAAAAATCGGAGTAAATTAATAAAAATCTCTTCTATTTTCTTCAAATCGGAGTAAAATTGAAACAAAAATTTCCAAAGTTGGGGGACCCCCGCCCCCTCGTTCGCGCCGTTCCTGAGTAACAGCATGAAAGTCTACAAATAGAACAGCGTACACTCATCTGTGCCAGTAACCATTGTAATGTTGTGGGTGTCTTAGCGGCAAGCATTCCACATCATAAACTATAAATAAATAAAATGATAATTGCTTACGATAATGCAAAATTGTTTTTTACATAAATAGCGAGAATAATATAACCTTAATGAAAATAATAATAGCAGCTTGATTGTGTTTTATTTTTAGGTTTATGTCATACTGTCTGTTAGTCGAAGCGTTCATTTATCATCATCCTATGATGTTCAAATTCGTGAAATAATTGAACGAATTGAAAAAGAAAATTGTCTTATTGAATTGCCATTTATAAGTGAAACAATAAATATGCAAGATTTAACATTGTATATAAAATCTGAATTAAATTCTATTCAACGAAATATAAATGATTCAGCTGTACAAGTACTATCAAAATCTATCTATCAACAAATAGATAAACAAACACAGATATTTTATATTCTACGTCTTATTTTAAATCAAAGTTATTTATCACAACAAAGTAAACAAATAAATTTAACGAATATAAGTATTGATGAAATACTTAATGCTTATATTGGTAAGAGTAAATTTCAATTTTTTTGTTTTCTATCATTTGATTTATTAATTCAAGATCATTGTGAACAGAAATTTGGTCGAAAAATTTGTTCATTTATATTTAATTATATAAGTTCATCTCAATCGGCTATTGCTGAAATTGAATTACTTGATATATTATCATGTAATAATGAATTCTTTTTGGAATATTATCAAAAAGATTTGCCGAAACATCTACGTTTTCCACCATCATTATGGATTGCCGTGAAATATATCTTAGGTACTAGATGGAGAGAAAAAATGATTTGAACAAAACTTATGAATTTTTATTTACTTAGGTCCACTTTTATCTGAGAGATATTTCGATTTAAAAGTTGTTCTCTGTTGGAGTCATTCATTTATTCGACGGCATATGAAACAAAGATATTTAAAAAAAGTTGAAGATATTAGAATTGCACATCGAGATATTGCAAATTATTTTCTTGAAGCTTTTATTGAATCAAAGCCATTAGTTGATATGAATCGGAATCTTCAAATCAGGTAAATATACCATAGAAAATTTAAAGGAAGTATATTATCAAAATAAATGAACAATACATTTAGTAGAAAACATGTTTCTTGATCTAAATATTAAATTATTTGAAAGTCAAATATCCTGACGAAACTATTCATTAGGTTTATCTATAGAGAAAAATTCGAAATCAAAGTAATGATAAAGCGTTTACCCTTCAACATATGAATCCAGGCATTGTCAAGTCCGATCGAAGTCGTTTCATTGAATCCAACATGATTTTGAACATGAGCTGTAGTTAGAATAGCTTCTACATAAAGACTCTGGGACAATAAATAAAAGATTCGAGAAGTTCACACTTTATACAGCATTTTTTCAAATGCTTTAAAAACGAACTAATGATCGTGTCCGAGCTGAAAAGAACCATTACTATGGAATAGCATTATTTCAGTTTTTTCTATTGAATATTTTATTACAGAAACGTTGATTTTTACAATGTAGCTTTTCACGGTTGTAGTATTTCAATAACTTTATAAACTAGTGTCAATACATTCTTCTATTTTTCTAGAGGAGATAGTGGTCGTCGTTTCATCTTACAACAACCGCTTCTTTATTCTGAAATAGCATATAATTATCGACGACTCGGTGAATTATGGTATCAACTAATGCATTCTGGTATTTATTTTAATACTTTTTTAAAAATAATGTGTTCCGCCATTTGCTTTTTTAATTAGGCGATATTGATCGTTTAAAAGAATATACATTATGTTGTTTCGAATATTTATTATCAAAAGTTCATGGCCTATCTGTTGAACAACTTCTATGGGAATTTGATATAATTTGTAGTAATATTCTTGATGCTGATGTACTCGTAGTACAAACTACAGTAAAAAATATTGTAAATATTATTTCAAATAATCCCATGTTATTCGCTGGAGAAATTATTTTACGATTGAAAAACATAAAAAGTAAAAATGAAATTTCAATTTTTTAGTTCCTCATTATTATTTTCTTCTTTAGATCGTTACAGTGAACATATTGAATCTTTATATACTCAAGCATATGAATGGTGTGAAGCATGTGGCGTACCTGTGTTTGTACCAATATCATCATGGATATCAACGGTTCCACCCATGACAATAACAATTTTACCGTGTACTGATGGAGCATTTAAAATAGCTCCAACGACATTTAATCAACATGTATTTTGTACGACACGAATAAATGAAATAGCTATGTATCATATACCATCGAAAAAACTTGTTAAAAAATTTAGTGGTATGCTAATATTAAAGTAAACTCGTAAGAAAAATACATGTGTATTTTGTTTATTTAGGTCACTCAGAATTAATAACATCACTCCAGTTAACATATAATAGTAGATTCTTAGTAACAGCATCAATAGATCGAACAATCAAATTATTTAATCTGAGTTCGGGCGATCTAGAAAATACTTATACGTAATAATTCTACTTGTTTAATTTAAATAGTAGCAGAACAATAAAACTCTTTTTTTTTGCTTTCTTTTTGTTTTCAGTGTTCATCAAGATGAAATACTTTGTATGACAGTTTCACATAGTAATGAACAGATAGTGACTGGTTCACGTGATCGTTCAATTATTGTACTTCGCCTTGAAACAGGTGAAATTGAATATTCAGTAGAACAACATACAGATGCTGTTACAGCTGTTGCTCTTACACAAGATGATGGCATTTTAGTTTCAGGTTAGTTATTAAAAACAAAGCTAATGAGAAAACTTCAATTAGTTTATTCTGTGGTCGAAACGTATATTACGCCCACAAGGAGCTCTTAGTAATATTAAAAAAAGAAACATAGTGATGTTCGCCATAAGAGTAAGAAAAGTAAAAGCTTTGTCATGCTCGGAGAGTATGTCAAAGTTATCTTCTAGAGCTTCTTAGCTATTTCAAGCTTACTAGCAGCATGCGTCATGAAGATAATAATGTGCGTTCATTTTATATAAATCTGCCCGACACAAAGCTTAAATACTTCATCGTACTTCGATATTGTGACCTACGATGACCTATTTCGTTGAATTTTTTGGCAGACAATAAAAACAACTCAAACTAATATCCTTATGAAGCATGTTGATAGTAAACACGAAATAGCTAAAAAGTTCTAGAGGAAAGCTTATATATATCCTAAGAGAACGATGAAGTGCGGAATTTCCGCTTTTTACTCTGTGCTTCCTGTTCATATAAACTACATTTGGAGGCAAATTATGACCGTTGCACAGAATTTCGAACTGAAATTTTTGCAGAAAATACATTTCGTAATTGTTTGAATATTGAAAAAGTTGTATGCGGACAGAAATATTCACTGATTGAAACATTGAATTTTCACTTTGATTCGATATTTTCAATATATAAGTGGTAACCAATTATGTATTAGAAATTGAACATGTCAACAAAGGAAGCATTACTAAAATAGTTCTATCGGAAGCTTCTTGTAATTTCACTCTGATTTCAAATAATGGGTAGCAGTAGCTATAATAGTTGCTTCGGAAGAAAAATTTCTATATTAATTAGTTTTTATTTTTAGCTTCACGTGATAAAACAATTAAACGATGGACTTTTCGTGGAATGCAATTACTTGATGTTATTGATACCATAATATCACCTATTCAACATATGATTATATCAGCAGATGATACATTCATAATTGCTGCTTGCGATGATACATCAGTTCAAGTTAAATCGCTTGTAACAGGAAGTGCTATTCATAATCTCGAAGGTCATTCATCAGAAGTAAATGAAAATATTTAAAAAATTTTAATATTCACGTTTTGTTTCTTTATTTCAATCACAGGTGACAAGTCTTTCAGTATCACATGATTCAATGTGTTGCTATGTGGGTTGTAGTAATTCACATGTTTATGTTTATAATCTTCGTTCATGTCTTCTACTACGCATATTAACTCATCATACTTCATCTGTTCATGATCTTTATGTATCAGTTGATGATTATTTTCTGTTCTCAGCAGCTGAAGTTCGTGTGAAGTCATCTTTCTTTCTTTCTTTCATATATATATATAGAATTAATTGATATATGTTAGGATGCAATACATGTTTTGAATGTTAAACAACAATTTAATGGTTTTCCTGGTGATGGTTCATCATCATCATCGAATGCTATTACAGCATTGTCAATATCACGTGAAGGTGATGTAGCTATAGCTGGTAGTTCTGCTGGTGTTGTACGATTATTTAATTTAATTGATGGTGAATTTACTGAACAAATTGTTGATCATCGTGCACCCGTTACACAAGTAGCACTTTCGCATTCATATTTATTTTCATTATCGGGCTCAAGAGATACAACTGTTAAAGTTTACGATAATGAAATGGGAGAAATTGTTGCTGAGTTTACTGTAAGACAATCTATTAGTTCAAAATTCTTGCGAAACAGGTAGTTTTTATTTTTTTTACATTAGGAACATTCTGCTCCCATATCACACTTACGTATATTGGAAGATAATCGAAAAATTTTATCTAGTGATGAGCAAAACTATATTAAAACATGGTGGGCAAATACAGGCGAATTAATTGATTCGGTAAAATAAAAATATGCAACTATGGATTCATTTTCATACATATCTTTAGTATAATGTACCATGTAAAATGCTTGCTGTTTCTCCTGATGGAAAATATGTCGTATCTGGAAATGGAGATAATATGTAAATCTTATTTTATTCATAAGAATTGAAATGGTTTAAAATAAATTTTAGTTTAAAAATTTGGTCGTTAGACAATGCACGAGTTGTTCGTTCAATCGATCATACCGAAGGAAAAATAACTTGTTTGGCATTTCGAGCTGATTCACAATATTTAATTACAGGTGGCGAAGATTACAGTTGCAAATTATGGGAATTATCTTCGGGAAAATTAACACAAGTAGATGAAAGATAATAAAAATTAAAAAGTTTTTACTTGATTGTTTTTAAAGGTTCTCGTCGAACATGAACAATGTGTTACAGCTGTCGCAATAAGCGAAGATGGGAAACATGTTTTAACAGGTGACAAAAGCGGTCAAGCAATCATTTGGTCATTTAAAGATGGTAAAATTCTATTTGAAAAACTATTTGAAATGAATGCGAATTACTTTTTAAGTTTTGTAATTTTTTCATCTCAAAAGAAGCAGAACTTCCCGTCTTTTTTGCTTCCATCTTTTTCTAAACTAAATTCATCGTATAATCATGAAAGTCATTCACAAAGTAGAATGATGAAAAAATTTGAGAAAATTGGCTTTTGAAAATTTTTTAAGGATATTTGTTATTGATTTTCTAGTAATCTAGTATAAAACTAAATTTACACATATGTAAATTATTTTAGGAGCTGCTGTGCATAAAGTGACGATACATAAAACTGTCATTGTTTCCGTCTCATTTGCTACCGATAGCAATATTGCTATTATTGGTAAAAACATATTTTTATTAACAGAGGTTATTTTTTAATAATTATTTGTATGTTTCAAGCTTCTCAAGATGGTCTTCTCTCTGCTTGGTCTACTGTTGCTGGTGCAAAGTTAGCTATATTTTATTTTAGCCAAAATCTAATTAAATTACTTGTTTCACAAAGTGGAGGTATCAGCAAATCAATAAAATTGTCTCATACGTTAAATTTTTCTTTTTGTCTCTAATAGCTCGTTATGCAGCAATTGTGCAAAATACATCATGCCTTGCTATGCTCAGTCTCTTCAATATTTCATTTAGTGATGGCTCTAGAATGGCACAATGTCAAAGTCAAGGTATGTTATTATTCATATCATGAGAAAAATACATCGACAAGAAACTAGGTTTAGTGTCTCCTGAGATCATCGGCACGATGTTACCAGTAAAACCAAAGCCATTACTTTATCCAAAAGATTCAACAATATTGGCTAATTCTCGAGAAAATTCGAAAATTGATCAATTTAGTGGTGATACAATACTTGTAAGTTTTGCTTCTTTTTTTGCGGCCATTTTCAATTATACTGCTCTTCCTCGCGAAATAATATAATTTTCTACTCAGCATGCGATCACGGAAAACAGTAGTGCTATTTAAATTTATTGATTTGCATGTTCGATTGAGATGGACCAGAGAAAGTCTTCGTAGAACGTTTGCACATATGTGATACAGCATCATGTTCTACATTCATGGATTGATCTAAAGTAACAACAAGTGAAATAGAATTCTGTTTACTTCTATCTTACCTAGAAATTTGTAACATTCTATTAGACTTGAATGCATTTTATTACCAACTCTTTAATACCATTGACAATAATTCTATAAGGTAATCCAACTGTTATATAATTATTCTGTATATAAATAAAAAACACTGATTGAAAGATTACGTCTATGAGACAAGCATATCGATCCTGTGATACACAATTAGAATGTATTTTATTTGTTTCGGTATTATTTATTGGCGTATTAACATTAAAAAGAATATATGATGTTGATCATGTTTGTGAGTTTTATTCGTACACATCATTTATTGATAAATTGTATCGTCGAGAATTTGAAAACATTCTTCAATGAAGTTTTTTCTAATTGACCATCAATTGAATCACCACCACAAGGGTGATTTGAAGGGTTCCAATAGAGATGATGTTGTTTTACATCTGATTTATTGTTACTCACAACAATATCAAGCATATATTAAATCACAAGGTCCAATAGATAATTCCGAAGCTATGAAATCTTTCTTATTACCATCTCGAGTATTATTAGTTTTCTAAGAAAAATATTTTATGTGGGTTATCACTATTCGAGACAACGTTCAAATCATTCTTTTTCAGGATTGCCATCATATGAAATAGTTAGTCCTACTACTACAAATAATAATAGTAGTCAAGTTGACATTGTTGAAAGATGTAGTTTATATTGTCTTGAATCGCAATATCTAACAGCACCATTGACATCATCACATAGTCTGCATGGAAAAAGCGATACTTTTTTAGGGCTTTATTTTATCGTTCCGTTGAATACTATTTAATTCATTTTCTTAAAATGAATTATATTTTTCTTGAATTTTTTTTTCTTTTGTAGCCAGATCCAATGAGTAAATCACAAAGTAAAGAATTTTTCAAGAAAAAACAACGTGGCCCCAATAAAAGAAATAGTACTACTGGTCTTAGCGTTAATATTGCTAATCCAGCAGTGAACACTGCCCCGCTAAATAAAGGATATCATATACAAACATCTCGTGGTAGTGCAGCTGGTTTGGTCGCTAGTGGTGAAGATCCAGCTCTTGCTGTTATTAATCCACATCCATCACCGACAATACATCATACAAAAGAAAAACGTACAAAAATCTGTTGTTTATTGTGAAAAATTCTTCAAATTTCGTCTTCTTATCGTTTCCATACAAATAAGTTTTCAGTTTTCAATGCTATCATATTGGTACAATATGTCATTGGGAATTTTATTCGATAAACAAATCATTTCGAGAAAATTATGTTATGAATGAGAGATTCATTTATAAGATAATGAGCAAATCTGATTCCTTTTCATGTCATTAATAAATAAAATACTGTTATTTTAGACTGTATGCTTTTTTCGTAACAATATTTGTAATATTAAATAATTGCTCATCAGTTTTGTTCTATTTCTTGATCCGATTACATTTATAACCTTCTTTTTCATGATGAGGGATACTTTGCTGCGGACATTTTCTAGAATTCTCGAGAGCTGGTTGGAACTCGAGAATGCAACAGCCTAGCATCTATTTTTAAGATCCGAAAGTTCAAAAATGAATAAAAATTTCGAACTTTTCAGCTGAAAAATGCAAATTTCTCAAGCTCTTGCACATTTCTACGCTTTGGTTTAATTGAGATTTTTCTAGAAACTAGCGAACATATTTATATTGATTGATGAGTAATCCACCATGCATAAACACAGTAAAATATTGCACGTTGTTCTTCTAGATTGAAAGAAAAAGACACGGAAAATTTTATTTTACACAAACTATATGAAAAATTTTAAAAGTAGAAATAAATATAATCAAAGTAATCGAAACTGAGCTGCGAATAAACCACTTGTTTTTTGGTTTGCATTAGCCTACGCTGACCAGACAATTAAAACTACTTGGCCTGAGTTCTGGACAGTTGAGAGAACAGAATATATTCATTACATATATTACTAGATTTAATGATACAATTTTACAGTATGCATCACTATTTTTTTCTTATTTTGTCACGCTTATATCGATCATATATTTAGTTCTGCTCAAATACGATAATGAAACAGCTAAGTATCAAACTGAATAGAAATTAGAAGCAAAAATAGAGTACTAGGCGATGAATAAAATCTGGTCTATAAAATGGATTATGCTTTCATAGCAGCTCTACCTTCAACAACGCTCTCCCATAACGTTGAAAAATTCACATTGTCAAAAAAAAAAAATTATAGCAATCGACAAACAGTTAACATCAAAAGCACAGGTGAAAAATATTTGCTGCTGGTCTTCGCTTGCTCAAATGATATCGAAATAGAGATGAAGTGCATCTATGATTCATCTGAATTCCTATTTTATATTCATTTCCTAAAAACTCAAAAACAAAAGTGAGATAAAAACCGTCTATGAAAATAAAATGTAACATTAGCAAGACCCGTTAAGTACTGAGTGAATATTTCTACAGTCTCTTCAATTGTCAATATGACATACATAGTTAGTGCTGGAGTTTGACTAGATACAGCTGCCAAAATCCTACAAAAACCAATAAAATTAATGTCCTTAGTTTTTGAATTAAATATGTTAAATTTTTTAAGTCTCCTTTCAATTGAGATCGTGAAATAATGATAAATGTAGTGAGACAAGAAGCCATGCAAAATTAATTCAAACTTATAATGATTTTCTTTTAATTGATCATTGTCATGCAAACATATTTTACTATTACAGCTATTTCCGTTTATTGAAAGAATTTTTAACAAATATAATATTTATAATAGAGAAAAGCATCGGTGAAAAGTTTCTGTCCGAACACACGGCTTATCTGCATTAAGACTCTTCAGTTTAACGCATTTGAGACGTGTTGCATCATTGGTAAAATTGTTTTTTACCATTACGAGTGATTTTTATTCTATATCGAGAGTTAACAAACAAGATAGATGTGTTTTTGTTGACGAGACAAAGTTCAACATAATCCACATGTGCATTAGCCAGCTGAAGAAATATAAGATGAGAAAATGAAATCAGTGTAGACAAATGTTGTTAATTTTTTTGTGTCCAGATGAATGAATCCGACAGTGAATCTTATCGGATCTCATGGGATCTGACAAGCCGACAAAATCCGATCAGATTTCTGGTCACGGACCTACTACAGAATCCGACGGAAAAAATAATTTTCTTAATCAACAATGAATAAGCATCTGGTGTCAACAGAACACATGGGTCGAATATTTATGTTGGATTCCGTAAAATTCCGACACTGGAGCCTATCGGATTCCAACACTAGAGTTCCGATTGACAGTCCCACACCCGTATACCGATAGGATTTCGTCTGTTTAATGAAATCCATGCTATATCAGATAAGATTCCGACACGAATCCGATAGAATCCTACTATCGGAATCATTCTCCTGGGCAGACGACAAAATTTGTTCGAAACTTATAACTTAAAATAGAATTAAATAGAATATTTGAAAAGAATGCAAATATATTTTTAAGGTTTCCAATTTTTGATTCAATAATATTATCAACAAAATTATTCCATAGCAAAGAAAAAGAATTTCCCTTCGTTTTTGCTTCCATCTTTTTTTAAACTAAATTCATCGTATAATCATGAAAGTCATCCACAAAGTAGAATGATGGAAAATAAAAAATTTTATAATTGGTTTTTGAAAATTTTGCAAGAACCTTCATTCTTATCTATCCAGTGATCTAGCAAATTTTGATTTATATCTAAATTATTTATAAGAGCTGTTGTGTATGAAGTGACGAAGCATAAAACTGTCATTGCTTCCGTCTCATTTGCTACCGATAGCAATATTGCTATTATTGGTAAAAACATATTTTAATTAACAGAAATTGTTTTTTAATAATTGTTTGTATGTTTCAACCTTCTCAAGATGGTCTTCTTTCTGCTTGGTCTACTGTTGCTGGTGCACAGTTAGCTAAATTTTTCATTGTAGTCAAAATCTAATTAAAGTGCTTACCTCAAAAAATGGATATATGTAAAAACTAAATAATCTTGTTGTTTCAATATACTTGTTCATTACAGCACATAGTTTTCTGAGACCCTCAGTACGATGTGACCAGTCAAATCAAAACACGTTTATTTTATCCAAAAGATTCAATAATATTGGCTAATTGTCGAAAAAGTTCAAAAATTGATCAAGCTACTCGCAAGGTGATATTTGTAAGTTGTGCTTTAGTTTTGCATTAATTTTCAATTCTATACGCTTTTCTAATGAAATCAAATAAATCTTTTCTCAGCATGGAATTATGAAGCAACATGTGCGTTATTTAAAACGATTCTTTTACATATGTAATATTTACATGTTGAGAATCACAATGATGTAGCCTATTATTTGTTCTTTTTTCAAATGCATTCTGAGAGTTGGAGTCTTCTATGGAGACGACTGTCTTTTTCCATAAAACTCACAATATTTATCCTTGATGAAAAATATTCCTATCACACTCTGAAGATTTTTCGTACTATTACTTATTATGCTAGATGGCATGACCTATAAATTAACAATAGCATTATAAACAGAAATACAACTAATATTATCCCACAAAAAAACAAAAAAAAAATTCTGATTCTCAAGAAAAACGAGAGAGAAAGAGAGCAGAGAAATTTTTCATAGAACACTGGCACATATACGATACAACATTATCTTCAACAATAATCGGTTGATACAAAGCAAGAAGAGAGAAAAAACTATACAATAAGTCGTACAACTATCATTGATTAAGTCGCGCCAAAAAAGAATATATGGGTTAGCGACGAAACAATAAAGAAACAAAAAATGACGTCATTGACAATGACAACATAACTTAAACTATATACGTATATATATATATATATGTATATAGATATAAAGGATGACAAGAGGCGTGTTCATATACTCGGATATGTGTATATTTGTGTTGACTTATTATTACTAAGCAATTAAGTAAAACATGACGGCAACAATGTCTTGCTTTTTTGATGCAGATCTGCGTTTTTCGATGTTTTTCTTTCCGATTCATGTGCTCGTATGTTTGACGAGAAAAACAATATTTTTCTGTGCTGCACAGATAATCTTCATCGATTATTCACATAGGTGTTTTTTCTGCATATATGCATGTATTTTACAGCAATTATTTTCTCTCTTATTCGCACTAACTCGAATACTTACTCATCTCCATTCTTTATCCAAAAAAAGCAAATAGTAAGACTTTTAGATAAAACTCTAAATCCTCGATACATGTTAGTTTTCTTTGCTGCAAGAAATGTGTCTCGCAATAGAATACCATTGTGCAAGATAAGCAACTCTGTTGGCACCACTAGACACTCATCTATGACTATCTCATGTGCTTGTCATTTGTAGAAATACACAGTGTTAAGTTATTGTTTTTTTTTGTCATGTTTTGTACCTTGACTACGAAAACATTATCTATAGTAGAAATTCTAGTAAACCTGGAAAATTTCAACTTTCAGCTTCATTAAACTTATCTTTGTTAGATGAATCTTAAAGAAATCTATAGTTTCAAAACAGATGTACCCATTGAAAGTCTTTCTAACATATTCTGTATTCTGAATGAGAAAATTTTTACAGCCATTGTCACAGCGGACTCTGTTATGATAAGATAATGCTGTCCATCTCTTGTTACTTCTCATGTCTGTTTCTTTCCTCTGAATAGTTTTCACTCAGCCTATATACTGACTTAGACGATGGACACTCTTGTGTACGATGAAACAGAAGTCCTTCAATCTCTTTATTAACCCATTTGTAAAAACGACAGTCAAGAGAACAATTACAACAATAAGATATTAGATAGTAATCTATATACATAGCTATATGCATGTAATCTTGACTCAATTTAATGTTTTAATATATCTGTATTGATAAAAAGAAAAAAGAAACTTGCATATGTAGATAAGATCAGATATAAAAATCATTATAATGAATATTGAAAATTTCGAATATTATACTTTGTACTCCATCTTACCGCTTCAATCGTCCGACAGTACTGTGATTAAATTCGTCGTTCGTTTCCATCGTATTTATCCATGGGTATTACTCCCATTTGGTTTTATTGGTTCTCTTTTAACAATATTAATATTTACAAGAAAAAAATTTCAAAGATTTGGCTGCTCAATATTATTTGTTGCAGAAAGTTTTATGGTAAATATTGTTTTATTCTTCCTTTTTTCTTTATCTCAAAATAAAAACTTATTCAGTTTTTTTTAGGATTTGTTATTAATTACAATAAATTGTATTCATCTTATTATACTTTATACATTTAAATCTTTTTTTTTTCAACGCTATTTGTACTTATTTCGAATCTATAAATTTTTAACCAATTACTGTTCTCATTGTGCGGTTTGGATTTTATGTGTCATATCTCTTGAACGAGCTGCTGTCACACGAAGTTTGGTTTGGAATCAAAATGTTTTCAATCATAAACATTCATATTGCATATTAATTATAATCTATACAGTATTATTTTTCTTCAATCTACATTATTTAATATTTTATGGTCCTGAACAAAGACAATCTTGTCGATTTAACAATAATCAAACAGAAAAAAGATTATTGGCCATGTGCAAATCGCATGTAATTAGATCTTCAACTGGTGTATATGATGATTTTTTAAAATTTTATTTTACTTGGATGGATTTTATAATAAATTCTTTAATACCATTTATGATAATTCTATTAGCTAATGCAACTGTTATGTACTCTGTATGTAAACAAAAAACATCAATGAGACAGTTAGGTGTACGGCAAACACGTTCAGCACGTGAAACACAATTAGCATATATCTTATTTGCTTCAACGTTACTTTTTGTTTTATTAACATTTCCATTACGAGTTTTTTCCCTGATTGAACCTCGCCTGCATTATGAAAAAGAATATTTAATTCTATTAGATGGTATCATGAGATTTCTATTATATCTTGATCACGGCTGTGGATTTTATTTGTATACATTTACTGGCGAATTATTTCGCCGTGAATTTAAAAAATTTTCAAATGACTTTTTATATCTGATTTTTCGACGACATTTTTTTAATTGGTCATCCATTGAATCACGACGTCAGAGTGATTCAAATGGTGGTGCTGTTATTGTGCATATAATTTATTCGCATTCGCAACAGCCACAACAACATGGCCAAAGTATATTACAAGACTCAACAAACAATTGTGGACCGATCAAATTATCTTTGCAGGAATTAGAACTAAAGAAGACTTTTTATGGGCAAGCATTTCATCCACATTGCACCTATGCAAGACAGCGTTCGAACCGCTCTTTTTCAACATCATCATCACAGGAAACAGTTAGTCCTAATACAGGACAACAAAATTTACTTAGTATTACGACTGATGAGAATAATCATATGGGTGTTTTTAAACGGCATAGCTCATATTGTCTTGAATCACATTATCCACACCTAATTGTACCATTGACATCATCAAATAATCTACATCGAAAAAGCGATATATTTTAGTTTTTTTATTTTTATTGTTCCGATAGATACTATTTAATTAATTTTAAGAAAATCAAGTATATCATTGTTGAATTTTCTTTATTTTTTTCTCTTTTGTAGCCAGATCTAATGTGTAAATCACGAAGTAAAGAATGTTTCAAGAAAAAACAACATGACCCAATTACAAAAATAGTACTACTCCTCTCACTGTTAATATCGCTAGTCCAGCAGTAGTTATCCACGAGGTCGCATTTTTATGTACTCAAAAAAAGAAAGAGTACACTATAGAATCGGTCAGTGTGTCCGTCCATCCGTCCGTTTATTCGATAGCTCTTTGCAATTACCTTCGATTGAGCTGAAATTTTGTGCACAGAATTGTCTCATCAATATCTAGGTCGAGTTCGAAGATGATAAGGATCCGTCAAGAAATGGTTGTATTATCGAAAAAATTGTCATTTTTGATCAGACCATCCCTGAGGGGGAGTACAGGGATTTTTCAAGACAAAAATTTTCTCAGAATTATCCACAACATATATAAATCGACTCAGTTTTTAACGCTGATTCTAAATTTGATATTAGTTTTGAACTAAATCGTAGCTTTCTAACGAAACATCGCCTGAAAAACGTCTCAAAATGCACAAAAACTGCATCCAGAAATCAAATTGCCTAGTTTCTCATGATAGCTTTGGCGTTCAGACATTCTAGAATGACCCATATGTCCCATGCACTTTTTGCAGTACACATAACTCTCGGATAAAATCCAAAGTTTCCACATTTATTTGCTTCTGAGACATGGCCCTCATTCGNTCTTTCTTTAGTTTTTGCTCGAAATAACTAATATTATGAGTAAGAAAGTTTTGACAAGAAATGAGCTTGAAAAATTAATTCAAGATAATAATCCATCAATACAATTTGTTGAGAAGAATAAAAGATCAAAGTCAAGCAAATGATAGCGTATTTTTTGTTATTTTTGTCAATTGCTGCTAGGGATGTACCTATGTGGGAGTGAGAAGCAAAAGAATCTGGATTTCCCAGCTTTGAAATGTAGGAATGAGTACTATTTTCCACAAATTGTGGTTTCCTGAATCATTTCCTAAATCAAATCCACATTTATGGAAAATGAGACGATACGATTTTTTGGGTCACCAAATAGGGATTTTTTATTTGAGAAGTTTTATGTCACGATTGTTCATTCGGGAATTTTTATATAGGAATCATCGTGACCAGTATCCTCTCCTTATTGATATAATGCTTTTCATATATGTTTTATTCCTTACTGAAACGAACTGGAGCATACAATCACCTATTTTAGAGTGATAATTTCAAATATAAAATACTACTCATAATACATCCAAACCGAAATATTAACCGTAAAAGCACCTGTTAGGACGACTCAGGTAGCATAATGCAGCATTATCAACTAGATCTGTGATAGATCGTGAGCAAAAAACGGTATCTGGTCACCAGATTCACTTCATATTTCATGTCTAGGGTTCTATATTTCTATTCCGAACGAGTAGTTCCATCTCATACTTTTCTCGGTTGCAATGAACGTCAATTTATATATGACTGCACATTTTCATTTTAGAATGTATAGCATTTCTCATATGCACTCCTAATGGGCATCAGAGCATATATTCTGGCCACCAGATTTAGTAATAGTTCGCGCAAAGTGTTTTATGTTCGTTTTCTCGAATAAGTAGTTCCATCTCATTCTATAGTATATACGTCCGTCAACGTATATTTGTTAATGACTAGTGTACATATTTTAATTTTGAAAAGTATAACATGTCTGATATGCATTCATGTTGAGTAACAGATGATATTCTGGTCACCACATTTATTCTATGCTTTGTCTAAGCAGACGTCTTTTATTATCTCTCAATATCTAGTTAAATGTTATTCTAAACTTGATTACAATCAACGACTACTTGTAAATAAATACTGGGCATATTGTCCATATTGAAAAATATTCTCCTGTGCACTTGTCTTGAGCAAGAGAACTATCATCCGGGTCACCAGATTCATTTCATAGCTGGTTATTGCGAATGTAGATTTTTATGTTTGAACAACTAGTTGAATGTTATGCTTATCTTGATAACAGCCGACAATTATTTGTAAATGACTACACTGGAAAAAAAAATAGCACCACACGGAACCAAGAAAGTTTCGAATTTTCTCACTGAACTTTAAAATGGTTTCGCAGGCACTACGAAACTTAAAAAGGGTTTCGAGATTTNCTGTCGTTTACGGTTACTTTACGACTATTTTACGGGCGAAAGTTTGCCGTAATATCTGGCGCAGTAATACGGACCGTATGATCATGAGAGTACGGAACACAAACAGCCGTAAGCCATGAAAATTCAGTCCCGTTTACGGTGCCGTATTACTGTGTCAGGTATTACTGGCAAATACGGCCTATTTACTGCCGTAAATATACCGTTTTGACATCGTTTACCGTCGATAAACGGACTGTAAACGAGTCCGCTTTGATCAATCTGGGTACTGTATTTTTTTGATTTAAATTATCCACAAATTCGGAAATCCTCAAATAAAAATCCCTATTTGGTGGCCCGAAAAATCGTATCATCTCATTTTCCACAAATGTGGATTTGATTTAGGGAATAATTCAAGAAACCATAATTTGTGGAAAATGGAGCCCTACCGAAATGTAGTGGCTTTTTTATAGTAAAATTCTTGTAGAAGTTTTGTTTTAAAATCTGAATGTTACTAGGTTGTCATGAAGGGGAGTACGAAAATCTACAGTATGACTTCTACTTTTTTCCTTTTGACATATCCCTGATTTTTGTACTAATATAATTCAGAGATTAACTCTCAAAAACAATTTCTTACAATATCTACCACGTCAAATTGATTAGAGTCTGAATTGAAAATCAGGGTTTGGCTCAGTGTTTTACTCCGCGACTCCTATGCAGTACACTACTACAGACTCTAGTTGCTTAGTTTGTTTTATTCATCTTCATATGTCCCTTTTATTACTAATGGTGAGTGAAAGCTCCAAACGACATCGTGCGAGATGCGTCATAAATTTGTCTAGATTACGAGGGAGGGACTATTTAAGTATTTAATTAATGAAATTTCTTCAAAACAAAACGAAAATTTTTAAGGCTCAAAGGTTGCACATCTTCATCTACTACAATGCATACCGAATTTTATTTTTGTTATTGAGGCTTTACTCGAAGTGAAGTCAACGAATATATTCAAATAAACCAATAGAAATTGTAGAATATATACATATATATATATATATATATTTAATCATTCCTGTTCGTTTTACTTTATCGAAGGAATGTGAACATCTGTTTCATCAAAAATTTCCAAGTTTTTTTCAAAATATTATTAGACATTCTATTATAACTTATCTATACAATTGCATTGGTTGAAAAGCTCTGCTTTACAAGAAACAACAAGTGATAAGTGAAAATAATAATCCATACTGAAAAACAGGTTATTGATAAAATTATAAAAGGAAATATATATATATATATATACTAACAATCGTCTCTTAGTTTTTTGGAGCAGGGTATCAATTTTATAAATAAATTTATACTGATATTGATGTTTGAACTATTATTAATGGATACCATTATTGTATTATTTATTCATTACATTTCGACAACAATATTTTATTTTGTTAGATCGTATATATATATATATATATATAACTTATATATATATATTCATATTTGCCTAAAATATTTAAGCGCACAAAACAGATATTTTTTCAATGCTTTAACTTTTATTTTTATACACAAATTAAAATATATATAGTATTCAGCAATAGCAAGATGAAGATATTGAAAATATTTATCGCGATTATTAATTTTTGTACTTTCAACCTCCCATGGTTAGTTTTAAATGTATCGGAGAAAAAAGAGAAAGTTATATCAAATATGTGCATAAATATAAATGTAGTTAGCCGGATAAAGACAACATCGTTACTGGAACCTGGAGAATAAATAAACAACTGATGATATCTCGAATAGCAATAATACGGAAATTATACATCCTTTATCGAAAAGCAAATTTATTTTTGTTCAATGCAATTCACACGTTTTGAAAAACAATTGGAATCCGCTTCATTAAATTAACAATAGCAGTTTTAAAATTTAAAAACAAACTTGAATTTGGAATTTTATTTTAAATACCAAACAAACACAACTGTTCATACTTATCTTTATGGATGCATATAGCATGATCTGATATACATAGATCTATTAGAAATTTACTATCATGACATACTGGCACATCTATTCTGCCTGTTGGAATACACTTATAACGCAATTAAAATCAAACATAATATGCTATAATATAAGCATTCAAGGTAATTTGGAAAAGTACTCATTCATTCATCTAATCCAAGAAATAAATAGTATTAAAATAACTAATGATGCATATATCGATCAACGGAATTTTATGACTCAAAAAAGTGGAAAGACTATCTGGACCAAGTATTACGATGATCAGAAGCGTTTGTAAACAACAAGGTTAAAACAGTTAAAGTATACTGTCATTGTAGACATTTTACGACCGTAAACAGCTAATTACGGTACTCAAACGGTTGAAAATTCAAGTATCCAATTGTTTATGATACATTGCATGAAAAAAACTGCTGTAAATACGTGCATAAGAACCGACAAGAAATTAATTGAAATAACCATTTACGATATTTTTTTGTTTATGATATGGATACAGCTTTAAAATGGTGACAAAATCACATCGATTTGAGATATTATTTGATAGGATTGAATATTTTCCACCACTCTCTACAAAAAAGGTGTCTTACGGGACCTTTTCTTGGTACTATTTTCAGAACCATTTTTAAGTTCAAGCGAAAAGTCTCGAACTTGAAAGGGTTTTAGACTTTTTGGATAGAACCTTAAAAAAGGTTCGGAAAATGGTTTCCAAATCTAGAACCTCAAAAGGTTCGGGACCTTGGCTAAAACCATAAATGGTTCAATATGGCACCTTTTTTTTTTAGAGAGCGGTTAACCGAATAATGTGCAACATATGTATAACCCATCCAAATAGCATAATGAAATTATTTAAAATTAATTGCGATAGATAATGTCGAAATGATAAAAGTAACAATTTTAATGACTAAAACGCAAGTTCAACAATCGTCAGTATAATTGTTTTACAGTTTTATTTGTCAAATCAACCATGAAACAAAATACAACAACACTACCAATTTAATCTTTGAAAAAGAAACATAAAACGATAATGCAAATTAAATTTATTCTTTCTGAAGATAAAACATTTTACTGCATTTTAACGTCAATGGCTTTCCATGTCAGAAAATACGGACAGTTTGCTGTCGTAAAAATGCCGTTGTCCTACCGTTTACTTTCAGAAAACGGACTGTAAACGATATCTGTTTTGATCGACCTGAGTTACCAAATTGATGAACTCTGAAGATATTTGAAAATGATCAATGATGAACAAAATCAAATTGTCTTGCATTTTGGCAATCGTATAATAAAGACAAAGTATAATATTACTTGAAATAAGTATCTTCAGGCGATTGTATCCAGATACGATTGAAATGTTATGCTTATTTTTTCTGTACACAACGCATTAAAGAATAATCCTTATATTATGCCGCTACAAGGTTCTTTTGTTTATACATGTTTTTTTATCCCTGCGATTGTTATTTCTATTGTTTTTTTTTTGTTTCGGATGAGTGATCTCTCACTAAGTTCATTAGCAAATTAAAAGTGCACTCTTTAAAGATGATGTTTAAATACTTAATTATTGTGTGAGAATTGATCATGCACAAAACTTCTGATTTAAGTCAAGATTGTTTCGAGGCACATTTGGTTAGATTATATCATGAAATCCTAGAAGAATCATTTTGACAATCGGATCCTATCGATTCCATATGAACTTCTGTAAACCGACGAATTCGTATCGGATTCGACATCACATTGGATGCCATATCCTTTGTCGAAGTATTAGGAGTTGCAATAAAGGATCATAGAATTGGTATGATGGTTTTTAAGTGTAAACCTCTTGTAAAATATTATCAATACCCATGTTGGAAAAACCGGAGTAAAATTGACGATTTACCGCGGTTTTACCGCTCCGGTTACCGGCTCCCATCAACACAAATTTACCGCGGTAAAACCGGGGGTTTCTTGAAACACCGCGATTTACCGCCGGTATTTTTCGATTAACCGGTTCGCTGAGCGTTTATAAAAAATTGTTGCTAAAAGTCATTGATCGGGCTATTTTAGGCATCTTTTTTNGAAGCGTAACGGCCCACCTACTTTCGAAAACTAATAGGAAAAGAGCTGTTTACGCACCCCTACTTTTGAAAATTTCGTTTTTTTGCTCACCAAAACAGAAAAAAATTTACGCCCTCTTGGTTCCAAAAGTTTCATTTTTTAGGTCATGAAAACAGAAAAATTAGAGTTACGCCCCCCTGCTCTGAGACCTGACTTACGCCCCTGGTTTTCACGTCAAAACTCTAAATATGAGATAGATACAGTGATTCATGCAAGTATTCATGTGAAGGATTAATTTAGAGAAAATTTCTTTCGATACGTATACATAGCCTGAATTTGAATCTTCAGTATAAAGCTACTTTTAAAGATAGTAGCTTATCTTCTATTACTAATTCAATTCTAATCTATTTCGTATTCTAGTTCGAGTAAAATAATATACATCTTTACTCAAATATAAAAGTAAAGCAAGAAAAAGAAAACGCATTACTTCTACAATTAATTTTGAAAACAACCATAAGTAGTGCTTTAGCAGCAATTCACCAGAGTACAAAATTGTGAATAATAACTCCTATTACTATGATTTTAAGTTAATGATGATGATAATCGATGAATGCATCATTGTGTGAGAAAACTAAAAATTATTATTTTCTTACATATTATGTTTTTTAAATTCAGCCTCTCGAGACAGATATAATTATCTATGATATGTGACGTCGATATATTCAGAATACCTAGGATTTTTCTTTTCAAATCAATTGGAAAACAAAATACCACATACATTGCCTTATATTTTCTAGATCTATTTAAACAACTTCAGATCTATATCTATATTGTCAAAGAATAAAAAAGACATAGTTTTGAAGAAAGATTCAAGTTCACTACGTATTTAACAATAACAATGGCATGTTGTTAACTGTAATTATTATTAATTCATTTTAAATATCAATGTCATTTGCTGCGTATAAATACTTCAATCAACTAGATTAAATTCACTATGATTATAGATATTATCACATAATAGTCATCAAGTTCATTGCAATCAATAATTATGTTCTTGAATTTCTTCTCAAATCTTTGCTCTACTTGAATATGAGATATAAAATTGTATGCAGAATTTTGAAATTTCTTAACTACGAGATTCAAATGTGCTTTTCTCGAAAAATATGATGTCTTATAATTGCGTTTAACCGAAACGTATTTTGAAAAATGAATAGTTCTATTAAGATACGTAGAATACTGTGTAATACAAGTTCAAAAAAATGATTATCATTTAAGACTATTGAATAAATACCGGAGTGTTGATAATTGAAAAAAGACATTCCATCTGATTTAGAACTGTTATTATCAAACTAAATCTTTCATACTTAAGTGATCATAAGAATCTACGTATATAATCATGTATGATATCAAGTTGATAGTAAAAAAAAATAGCATATGAAGGAGATATAAACATAAAGAGTAATACAGGAAAAATGAATGTAAGTAGATTAAATTTTTTCTCTGTTCTTAAGAGCACATGCTGCATGACTTATAAAAAAAAGAAAGGGCTAGACAAAGTTCAAGTAAGCGAATTGACTCTTTGTTAAAGTATAGTTTTATTTTGTTATTCTTTAGTGTCTTTTTTTCTCTGAATAGTCATTAATAATTGTACTAAAATAAAGACTTTGTGTTTTGTTCAACCATGAAGAATAAGTCGAAAAACGTTGTTGATTACAAGCCACGCATTGTTAATACAACGTAACAAAAATGTTTCTGTAAACTGCATTGGTGGATCATTATCAGCCTAAATAAATATTATATTATTTTAATCTATATCGAACTCAATGTTTATATATCGTCATTTACTTTAAGAGCACCAGTAACAACTATTAAAATACAGTTATCATATGTTGGTTGAATATCCATCGTTGATACTGTATGACCTATTGTTTGAAATGTTAATGAACGTAGTTTTTCAGCTATCTCTTGAGCACCCTTAGCAAAATCAGCATTATTAAAATTCATCATGCCATTAACAGGTTCCTTTTAATAAAAGAAAAAACAATAATGATATAGTAGTAAAATAAAGTCTTGTATAACGCTCACATAAAGTGCTGCAACACCATCACGCGGACCTGTATCAAATTTATTATAGTAAAAATCAATGAAAGCTTTGCCAATTGCTTTGAAATCGCTCATTATTAATGTATAAAAATAGATAGTCGATTTATATCTGAAATTAACAGAGCTTGTGTGCAGTAGCGATCTGGCAGAGAAAGAGAGAAAGAGAGAAAGAGAAAAAGAAGACAAAGAAAAAAAAAGATTCTAGTCCGATGTTAGACAAGCGATGCTGAAGGACCGCAGATAAATTATTTGCCTAATTATACAAATAAATTTATTTCATAATCTTTTTTATTGTTTTAATTCGATTTGATTCTTGTGTTAATATGAATTTTTTTCATGAAGTAAATCTGAATGAAAAAATGGTAGGAGGCCACAATAATCTTAAAATGAACAAATGATCATTGATTGGTCGACAACGATTGATAGATAAAGCCAGCAAAACGTTTTTTTTTCTCCCGTAGTGTCTATGTCTAGTCTGTCTGTCTAGATTAGTTTGATAGGCAATCATTAAAAAAGACCATGCCTGTCCCTCTAAGCCAACCATCAATACCTAGGCAATTATCATGGAGTTTAATGATCGACTCAACGGCTGTTGTTGTAACAGGTTCGATGACGATTGGTTCAGTGATGGTTCAACTTGTAAATCGTCTCGGTTCGTTTTTTAGTAGTTTTTTTTCCACAAAACGCATTAATTTCTATCGAATACAGATATATCTCAAGATTTCTCTGATTATGCACTTTGGTGGTCCAAAGCGAATATTTGGTTAACAAATACAAAATGGACACTCGATCAATATGGTGTTCAATCAGATGCTCATCTTAATTTTACTAGCATACATAAATCTATTCGTTTACAATTACCTGATTTACGTGTTTTATCTATAACTGCAAATTTTTCAGTATCAGTTTTTGCTGCTGTTAGTAAACTCTGTAAAGATCTCGGTATGAATAGAATATTGTTTTGTCATATATTCAATAAGAAATTCTTGATTTTAACTTAGGAATTCGTCATGCTGAAGAACTTTCGCTTTTACATTCATCAAAATTAGCCAGTACAAATGTAGCTAATGAACGCCGTACATCACCTCGTCGTCGACGTCATAATATTGGCACATTAAATCGCCATAATTCTATGGGCGATTCATTAGCAAACAATTCATCAACAGTATCAACTCTATGTTCTCCAACAACACCAAGACTTCGATCAGCAGCTACAAATAAAACCACAGTAGATATTGAAAAGAATTTCAGTTGAAAATAAAATAATATCAATTTTTTCTCTCAAAAGGAATCAACAGTACGTCATCAACGTCCAATATCAAATCTTTCGAAATCACTTAATAGTTTAGTTACAAACGTTGATGGTAATCTAGCTCGAACACCTGCAACGCCATTAAAAAATGTTCTATCACAGTTAATTAAACCAACAAATATAATTGAAAAATCAAGGTTAAATGGTTTATGGTATGATTCATCGAAATCGCTTATGGAACAAAATACAAATGAAAATGATTTAATTTTATTACGCTTTAAATATTTTGCATACTATGATCTTAATCCAAAAGTAGAAATTTTAATGCTTTGTTTTCTTTTAATATTTAAGGTATTTTCGTTTCAGTTTGATGCTATTAGATTAAACCAATTATATGAGCAAGCTAAATGGTCTGTTCTAAGTGAAGATATCGATTGTACAGAAGAAGAAATGATGACTTTTGCTGCTTTACAAGTAATTATAAGCGTATTTCAAATGCTGATAAGACAAGAATAGATATTCGATACAGCTTAATTTTCTCGATTGGCAAATCATTTCGAAAAATACGCTCTAAAAACAGTGTATTGAAGCATTGAGAGTTAGAATTTCGATCGTCACATTGGTAACCATGATAACTTGACACATTGTTTTGTTATTATTCTAGAACTACTTTTTTACTTTGTTGTCGAAAGATTAAATAAAACGAAAGTGAAGAAATATTTATTCTCAGATAGATAGAATAAAGAGATTTTCTTTTAATTACCGGCAACAGATACATCTTATATCACATGTAAGCCCCTGCAGAATTATCTTTATCGCTTTTTTATTATGATTTTCTTCTGATGTTATTCTCAAGAGTCTTTCTATTGTCTGACTAATAACCAGTAAAGAATATCATATCAATAGTAGAGTTTGCTGATTGTGTTGTAATACATTGCAAATAGTCTAAAATTCTTGAATGCACGTATGCATTTTCATTTAGAAAAAATAGACCTTTCCTTCTGGAAGATGCGTGAAAATATTCTAAAGTGTACCTTGTGCACCTTGAAAGCATCCGTAAGGCAGCTTCAAAGTAATTTTGACATATGCCATACATAGGTAAAAAGTCATTTTTACGTTCAAATACGTTAACTTATTATGAGAACAATGATTTGAACATTTTATCGATGTTAAACTTCATGTTTTCTAAATAAACATGAAAGAACGTTTTTTTTTATATATCCTCGTTTGATTGGATTATAATAATGGTTTAATACGAAAATTGAACAAGTTTAAAAATATCTTAAGATTTGAACTAATAGTATGACTATTTTTGTTTGAATTCTGTTAAAAAAAAGTCAGCAAAGCTTAAAGATTTTCTTATGTTTATGCATGAGAGACGATGTCGACATGACAAGAAATCTATATAATTTCTTATTTGTTAAAATACATGGAAGTAATAGACTTTAATAACATTTTTCTACTAGATAAAAGTATAATAATAGATTTTTAAATCTATAAAATGCTTTCTCTTAGCTTCAAATTCAAATTCAATCTCATCAATCTTCATCGACATTAACATCTTCGAATAACGATATGGGTCATGAATATGATAATGCAAATGATTATGATATTGATCGAGCACTTGAATGCTTACAAGATTCGCTATTAGGAACAAATATAACGAATACAAGTCAATCGACAAATACTTTAATACAAAAATTTTCATCAAATGGAGAACTATGTGATTATTTGCGTCTTTTGAAATCACGAAGATTTACATTTAAAACATTGAAGCGCTATTGGTTTGTTATGCGAGATACTCAACTAACCTACTATGCCAATGAATCTCAACAACATGGTACGCCTATAGAAAAAATTTCACTTAAAGGTTGCGAAATTTTACCAGATGTACATATCTCATCGAAAAAATATGCAATCCGTCTAATGATTCCATCTCTTGATGGAATGAACGACACGTTGATTCGTTGTTCAACCGTACGTTATCTTTTGTCTATTTCTTTGTTTAACTGTTGTCATCGTATATTTTCTTTAGGATGAACAGTATGCTAAATGGATGGCTGCTTTTCGTCTTGCATCTAAAGGTCGATCGATTAACGAACAATCGTATGAAACTGAACGCGAGTCAATTTTAGCGTTACTTAATATGCAACGACCATCATCGTCAAATCATCAACAAAATAAATTTGATATACAATCAGAAAATTTTGTTTCACCTAAATTTGTTAAAAAATATAAAACAAAACAGGTTAGTTGGTATTTCTTTTACACAAACGTTTTATTTAATGTCACTGAATTGTTGTACTTCAGTTTTTGGAAATATTTTGAGTGATCGATTCGATTTCATATCTATGAATCATCACTAAAGGCATTTCCACAAAGAAAAATGCATTTCGTAGGCATGATAGAATAAAAACTTCTCTAATCATGTCAGATACAGTGCAAACATGATTGATTTCATCATAACATGCATTTAAATAATCCTTCAATAAAATATTAACACGATTTCTATGATACTAAAATATAGAACATGACTGATATACATGTATCGTCAAACAATTGTCTGCATTTTAGATAGTTGAACAAGAAGGAAAAAAACGATTGAGTCTGTGAAACAGTGCACAAAGCCATTTTGTTATTACTTCAAAAAATTTTTAAGTCGAATTCCAAATAATAGACCTGACAAATACTTATTTACACGTTATTTCATTAAAGACAGAGGTTAGTACTGCTAAATGAATCAGATGACGCACATCATTTTAGTTTTGGAATGAATCTAAATCATTTATTAGAAGAAAAACGATTCCCTTAATTCATCATCAAAACTCGAAGAATGATATTTTGATGTAAAAATAGGAATAAAAGTAATACGAGTAAATTGTTTATGATTAAACTAAGGCTAATACCAAACAAAGTATTTAACATCTTGGGTATTCTTGTATTTAACTACATCATAATTTATTAATGAAATAAATAAACGAATTTCAATGATTCTCAAGGACAGAAATAATCTGTAGATAGAACGAGCAAGAGATGAGGATGATAAAATGAATTATTTACGGAGAAAGAAAGAAGAAAAGATATGTACGCAAACAAATCGAGAATATGAATGCATGTGGCGAAAGTGTCTTATGTTATTTAAAACATTGTTCCAGTTTCTATCAGTCTAGCATTGACACAGGCGAATCAAGATGTTGACAAGTGTAGAAGGATACACTCAATTATTGTTTTTATCTTGTCATTCGTATTGCATATAACGAAGTGCGCTGTAGCTATTATAGTGACGTAATCTACAATTTGAAAATACATTTTCGACGAATAATACGTCGTCAGATTATTTTTCGTGTGGAAGCTTCATAAAATTTTGAATCTGTATTCCGGGTTATTCATAAGAACAATCTATTGGATCTACTGTAAAATCGCTTGTTTATCATCTGACTTGAAAAAAAAGAGTAGTTTGAGTCCATATCCATTGACTATGGAAACTACCGTAAGATAACTCATAGATATGCGATGATTAATTTCTAATTCGATTTTAAAATTTATCTCTTAAAACATATGATAACTGCATACAAAAATGAATGAGAAAAGATTTTCTAAGAGCATACGCTAATTGAATTGTTTTATTCTAGTTAACTGAACGAATCTTGGAAGCACATGCCGCTGTCAGTAATTTGGATGGCACAGAAGCAAAACTGCGTTATTTAAAAGCATGGCAAGCGTTACCAGAATTTGGTATAACAACATTTATTGTTAAATTTAAAGATTCAAATAAAAGAGAAGTAAAAAAAATGAAAAATTATCTTTATTTTTCATGGTGTCTTTTTTTTTGTCGCAACTTTTAGGAGTTACTTGGTATTGCTTCAAATCGTCTGCTACGGATGACATTAACAGGTGATACATTGAAAACTTGGTGGATATCTCGAATGCGTTCATGGAATGTCAATTGGGAAAATAGATCAGTAACAATTGAATTCGATAGCGAAACAATACATTTTTTGCCATTATATGGTATTGAAAGTAAATGTATACATGAATTTATTGGCGCATACATTTTTCTAGCTATGCGATCAACAAGAACAATGTCTGATATCAATGATCTAATTCAACAGGAAAATCTTTTCCAACGACTTACGGCTGCTTATAGTTAAATTTTGTCTTATCTCTTCATTGTTTGTTTTTACTTCAGTGCTACTGTCATTTATCTGATCTCGATTTTCTTGTCAGCATGTGTTTTTGTTTTGGAATCTCTGTTTTCTTTTTAAAACTGTCAAGATAATTTTTGTGTTTAGTCATATCTTTTATTATTATTAATTTTGATAGTTTAGTGTTTATCTGTTGCTGTTTGTAATGAATTAATAATTGGAACCAGGATCATTGCTATCATGTATCAAACATTTGTGTATGATGTATTTTAGATTTTTATATAATATGTTGTAATCAAATGCAGATGGTGATGACGTTTCTATTGATTTCAACCCAATACAATGAAACTAACGTCATAAAAATAAATGTTTCATAGAATTAAATATTGGTATGTTTCAAACATATAAAGAAAGACACTCTAAATTAAATCTCAGAAAGTCAAGTAAATAATGAGCGATCTATTCAGATTGATTTCACATGCTAACAATGAATGGAAATGTAAAATTTTGTTTTTTTTTGAATACTTTCATAGTGAATATTATTTAAAAGATTAATTTTTTTCTAGAAAAAATTCGATTTTAATGTACTTGCTGCAACAATTGCTATCTTACAAAAATAAATTCAGAACAGGTAGAATATCTACATTTACATAACTATTAGTTTCATTATTTTACTTCATCCATTTCCTTTGATAATTTCTTTCGATCATTCCAAAATTTAGGAATGCCTACAAGAAAAATGCTTGTTGTAACTAATAATGAACCAAGTACTACTAGCCAATTTGATTTTTGATAAGCAAACAAATTTTGAAGTATAATAGCAAATAATATATCGGACGATTGAACAATAGAAACAATCGATGGATGTTCAAGTTTAATTGCTTTTTGTGTTAGTGTAGATGAAAATAATTGTATTAATGAAACAAAAGCAGCTAGAAAGAATTGCCAAGTAAACATCGATTGTTCGGAATACATTCTAAGAATAAAACGATTACGTATTTGATTCATAGTAAGTATTGATAAATTTAAAAATGAAAATTGAAACATAAGAATACTTTGAGGAACTTTTAATACTAATAACTTTTTATTAAGTACAATACTACCCGATATTGCTAATGCACAAGCAAGTGCAAGACAAAGTCCTTGAAATCGATAAGATCTATTAGATTCTAAATCAATATCATTCATATGTTTATTGATCGTTACATTTATATTCGGTAATTGTTGTGAATAACCAAATAGAAAAGTTGGTTGAGCAACACATACAACACCGGTTAATGTTAATATAATAGCTAATACAGTTGATATTGATATACACTCATGTAAAATAATCATAGCTAGAATAGTTGTCCAAATAACTTGTGTATATCGAAATGTTGTTAAATCTGGTAATGGAATAAAACGATAACTTGAATAGAATAGAATTAAACCACTCGAAGCTAACAGCGTACGAATTATTTGTAGAATAATTAAACTTGGTGAACCATACATTATTTTATATCGTTTGTAAATAATGAAAAGAGTAAGAATACATGTTTGTACAATAAATCGACAGAGTAGTGCGTCAAAAAAGTCAACACGCAGCTGTTTTATTATGAAACCAGACGAAGTAAATAGAAATGAACCAAGAAGTGCATAAAATAGTCCTGTACATCGACGAACTGTTTGAGAACACGATTGTTTTTCATTTGGTCGATTAGGATGAACAATTAAAATTGATGAAAATCTTCGTTCAAGTTTATGCAATGTTTCATCGATATTTTCGCCACCTTCTAATTCATCTGCATCGATCAATGGTTGAATTAATGGATCAATACTTTGAATAGCATTTTCATCGTTTGCAACGTTATCCTTAGTTGGCAAAATAGAGCCATTCGGTACATCATCGTCAGTGACAAACACGTCTTCTTTCATGCTATAATTTCTTTTTTGTGTCACTAGTTTTTCTCTTCACCAGTAATAATACAAGCACGAGTACTCTTTTTTTCTCCCGTCTTTCCTGTCTAGACAAATACTGAACGCAAAAAAGAAAAGAAGCAAGAAAACTGCTGTGCAATAGATTAGTATCGTTTCTTTTTTGTCTATTTTTCAGTTCTTGCGTTCTTTATAGTTATAGAAGAATAGAACTAGTCACGTTACTAGTGCATGAGCACTAATGATTGTTTTCTTCTTGTGTTTTTTTTTCTAGAAGCAAGCTATTCGAACTATATCAATTCAAATACTGAATAAAAAAAATAAAAAAGGCTAGCTAGTCTTTTGCTTGAACATTAAATGTATTTTCTTCTGTTGATGTTGGTATATAAGTACGATTTTGTTGATCTAACCATAACTTATGACCACCAACAATAAAAATACTTGTAAGAACAAGTGCTGATCCAATTAATACCAGTAGATTAGTTTTAATCGATGAAAATAAAATTTGAAGTACAATTGCAAAAAGTATATCTGATGATTGTACAACTGTAACAATTGATGGATGCTCGCGTTTAATTGATTTTTGTGATAATACCATTGGAAGTAATTGTAATATAGCAATACTCAATGCAAATAAAAAATCTTTTCTCAAGATTTTTTTTTTTAAATTAAATTCCAAATGATTTGATTTCGATAATATCCAATAATAAACTTGCATTGCTATACATAAAACAAGAGTAGTAAATAGGAAATAAAACATTATGATGCTTTGTCGGAGATTTTTTTGGAGCAATTTTTTATTTAAAATAATACTCATTGATATTGAAAATGCACATGAAAGAGCTAATAATGTACCGAATACACGATTATTATTTTTAATTATTACTTTATCTTGTAGAGTTTCATTGTATATTTTTGATTGTGCAAAAAGAAATGTTGGCTGTGCTACACATGCAACACCAATAAGTGTTAATATACTTGCTATGATAGTTGGCAATGTAATTCGATCGCGAAATATAATTAAAGCAAGAAGTGCTGTCCAAACGACTTGTGTATAACGAATTGTTGTTAAATCTGGTAGAGGTAGCATAGATAGGCTAAGATAAAAAGAAATACTTCCACCAGCAGCAAAAATAGAACGAATAAAAATAAGTAATTTATTTGAATCAGGAATTGGTCGATAGCCTTTATAAAGTATAAATACGAGTGATATTAATCCTTGAACAAGTATCCGAATAAAAAGAAAGTCAACCATAACAATATTCAATTGTACTAATGCAAAATTTGAACATGTAAATAATAGGGAACCAAGCAAAGCATATATAATACCTGAAAAACGTTCCATATAAATAAAACATTTTCTAACAAGATTTGATTGGTTTTCATCTTTGTTTTCTTCCTCATTTTGATTTATAGTGCTCGTAGGCACAAAGAAAACAGATGATCGTCGATGAATATACATAGGTTCATCGTCTTGATCATTAATTGGTTGAACTAATGGATCAAGACTTGCTGCAGCTTCCTGGGGAGATGTAGATATTGAAACGCTCGTATAGGTACGTTGCTTCTTATCCATCTTACTTTATGCTTTGATCTTTACGATTATTATAAATATATATATATATATATATGCACATATACGTAAATCTCTTAATTTACGATTATATTCTTCATTTCAAGTTATCGAAAAGTCCATAGATCATGCGAAAATGACCTAGATAAACCGAAAAATATAGTGATCGTAATTGATTGTACATAGAATAAATGAATAAATATAATTTTAATAGTTTTTGTAGTTTGAATAATAAATCCTATACATTAAAGAATTTTAATATTTCTTTGATGACAAAAATATCTATTGATTTCATTTGTTATCTTTTTTTAGATAGTTGAAATTTTATTTTTGTTTAATTAAAATGCATGATTGATGTCTAGTATTTCAAAGCATGAAGAATAATTTCAATACAGATGAATCAGGATCAAACCGAAAACACATCTGTATGATCAAAAAAAAAATAATCGTATTTAAAAATTTTTCTCTTTTTTCTCTCTTTGTTTAGCTGTCCAATACTCAAAAAGTTCTAACCTCATTAGTTGCCGGCGGTTGTGCAGGTAAAATAGATAAGAATCGAAGAAGTGCACTTGATTTGATTATTCACTTATTTATTTTCCAGGTGCTGTCTCTAAAACAACAATTGCGCCATTCGATCGAGCTAAAATTAATTTTCAAGGTCAAATCTCTGTCAAAAATAATATCTATTCTAATCTAAATTAAATCTTTTCTCTAGTTAGAACCGATAAATTTAGTTATAGACGTTGCTTTAAATTTATAAGAGATACATATCGAAAGGATGGTTTCGTTTGTTTATATCGAGGAAATTCAGCAAACTTAGCTCGTGTTATTCCTGCAGCAGCCATCTATTTTAGCGCTCATGAACAATGGAAGCGTCTTCTTAATACAGATAAATATGAGTAAGATTTTTATGAAGAAGAATTATAAAATTTATCTAAGAAATAAATATGTATTGAAAGAAAAACACCTGGCCGTCGATTTATTGCTGGTTCTTTAGCTGGTCTTACATCATCAACAATAACTTATCCACTTGATTTAGCTCGTGCTCGTATGGCAGTAACCAGCAAAACTGTGTATGTTATTTTAAAGATTTTATTATGAAATTTGCATTGTTGTTAAAATCGGTTCGAAATGAGAAACTGAAAATTGATGACCAAAACTTTTAGTCAAAGAATTCGTAGTGACAGAACAAAAGTTTTAATTTACGAGTAGGTCTTGTACTTTGTTTGATGGAAGCAGAAAAAAAAGAAAATTAATATTATCTTGGCAGCTGTCCCCCCCGTCATAAAGAAGAAAGACTTACAATTTGTTTGTAGTACCATTGAACAACTTAAACCTACGAAAGTCACAGGCATGTTTAGTCATATCTGCTCAATCAACTTTTCTAAAGTCAATTTTTCGAATTAAAAAATATTTTTAGCATGAGATTATAGACTCTACTGTATAATTGGATGACGTAGATCTATACTACATTTAAAATAGCCTTATTTCTTCTTCCAGATAAGTTCTATATCGTAACTGTTCGTAAGTCCTTTTCCAATAGATTTAGTAATACATCAGTCGCATTTAATTAATTGCAATTGTAACAACAAGTCTCTTGCAATATTCGACAATGCTTTTTCAGAGATAGAGTAATTCAGTTTGAAATAATTCATGGATTAGTTAGACATATCTACGGACTATGGTATTGTCTTCAATTTCGTTTGTAACCATAGTGAATTCTTTGCACCAATAAAATCAAGATATGAACGATCCATCAAATTAGAATATTTGTGTTTTGTTCGTCAGTTATGCTTGTTTGAGACAAGGAACAGAGAAAGCCGGTGTCATGTTTCTATTTTCACAATCGATTAATATTCGATGTTTTAGACTAAAATCAGCGTTTTTCTGTATTTGCCATATATGCACAAGAATAAACATGTTTTGTCTATTTAAATACATACGTACGTAGTTATAGATTATAGAATGAGTTTTACTAATTACATAAACTAATATTAGTGCAACAAATATCAAACTTCCATTTGAGTTAATAACGTGGCGTAAGATCTTCGCTAAATGTGAATCGATAGTAAGAATTAAATTATGATAAATGATAGTTCTTTTTTTCTCTTTTACAGGTATACAAATTTATTCTCAGTTTTTCTAGCTGTTTTTCGAACTGAAGGTGTTTTTGCTTTATATCGTGGTGCACTATGGTCAATGATTGGCGTATTACCTTATTCTGGCTTTGTCTTTTTTACTTATGAGTCCCTCAAACATATTCGCTTAGGTAAGAAAACATTAAAAACAATCTTAGTTTTCATATAAAAGTTTTTTTCTTCTTTAAATAAGATTATCAATCTCACCGTCCTATTAATAAGACAGAACAAATGTGTTTCGGAGCTATATCTGGTCTTATTGGCCAAACGGTTTCATATCCATTTGATGTTGTTCGACGACGATTACAAACTGCTGCTGTTATTCGACCAAATGAACGATATCTTGGCGCAATAGCAACAGCACGTAAAATAATTCGTGAAGAAGGCATAACAAGTGGCTTATACAAAGGTGTAACTATGAATTGGTTTAAAGGGCCAATATCTATAGGTGTTTCTTTCATGACATTTGATACATTAATTAGGCTGATTCGTCAATCATCACTGTTCCCTCCAAACTCTTGATCGAATTCAATTTTCATTTCGTTGATTTTTTCTTATTTCTTCCTCTATTTTCATATATTATCCAAGTATTTTTCTAAGTTGCGTTCTTGCTAATGTTCTAGTCTCCACCGAGTGTATTTATATTTTCCAGATGATTGATTGTTTTCTATTATTATTATGATGATGATGATGATGATGATGAATAGTTTCAATTAGTAAAATTTTGTTCATGTTCACATTGACAATTATTGTTGACTCATGATTCCATAGTTCTCACTTATTGAAAAAGAATCTTTCTTTTTTTTTTTTGTTTTTCATTATGCAAACGTATTTGAAGAATTTGTTCAAAATCATATTAATCGAAATAGGAAAGTAATAGACATCAAAATTATTCTCTGAGTGCGTTTTCTAGATGACAACAAATATAATATTGTCTTTTACGGATCTACCATTACTCGTACAAGATAAAATAATAAATTATTTTTCATATGCAGAATTAAGTTGTTTACGTTCGACATCAAAACATTTTCAGCGATTATGCTCTGAAAAGCTCAATCGAGGTTATTCTCAACTTGAAATAATTATTCATGATTTACAAAAACAAATTAAAACAAAATTGCCACGACGAGAATCGGAACGACATAAAGTAAGCAAAATCCAAAGAAGACTATTCATTTTTCGATATATACCAAATGAGAATAGTGGTACGGTACTCAAAACCTACACGATCACTTTACATTGTGTCAGATGTTTGAAGAAAAATTCAAGTGCCTTTTTAGTTCGAGAACAATTCTATACGTATATTTCTAATGAATATTAGCTATAAGAAATACTAGAGACTATAAATATTAACAGTTCTATATTGTATGTTCATGTCATTAATGAGTCAGATTGTTGACCTATGATTTCATGTCTTGTCAATTAGTAATTAATCGTTAGCTTTTCCTTTTTAGCATCCTTTATCAACAAAATTTGATATAATATCTTCTCTTGATTCTCGTATTCAATGGCTTAAATTAACATTTAGTTCGGCCATACAAAATTCATTCTGTTGTTTTTATCCGGGTCATGTAAGAAATTTTTTTCGGTGATTTTTTTCAAAACAAAAATTTTTTTCAATTTATTTAGTTACTTGATGAAATTTATTCAGTATTAAATCATTTAAAAACACAGCAATCATTTTCAAATCCATGTACACTGCTGCAAGAAACACGTGATATGTCATCAATGGCTATTGAGCATTTTCGTGAACAAATTAAACCGAAATTACAATCAATGCGTATGACTTCGTTAAATACAATACGTCATAATATTTCGACATTTTCAACAACTATGACTAGTTCTCTATCTCATTATCATCATCATCATCGTAAACGATCAACGAATGGAATATTTCGTCGACGAATCGATATATTAAAAAATCGTATATGTAAACAAAATATTATTATGAAATCTCAAAAATCTCAAGTGAAACATTATAAACAACTATTACATATGCGTACAAAATCATTAATTGATCATCATAGGCGTTTAAAGTATCTTGAAAAGAAAAATAAAGAATCAGAACAAATTCTACTTGAAATACAACGAGATAACAATACATTATTACAACGTATTGATCGATTTGTTTTAACCTACGATAACATACCAACGGAACTAAATAATAAGAAATGTGATGAAATATTTCCTCAAATAAATACAAATTTAAAACGTCGAAAAATTGATTGATGTATTTATGTGCATTCAGTATCTTTTCTTCTGCCTTCTTTTTTGTTACAATCAAAAATCTAAGAAAAATCTGTCCTTTTGACTTTTTCTAGCAAGATATGTTTTGTTTATAAAATATATAATGAGGAAGTGTTCGATTTTATGTTTCCATTGCGAAATCAAAATCTAAGCATTGCAGCTGCAAAATCAATCACTAAGAAGAATCTTTTTTTTCTCTGAATTTTCACTAGAATGCTTTTTTGTTTGCTCTATTCGATGTTGTGAGTCATCTTTAGTTCAGTATGAACAACTTGTTTCCATCTAGCTGAAATTTGAGATAGAGTTTTCTTCTTATATAAAAATATGACAAAGAAAATGATTTCTTTTCATATTTTTGTATTGTGCTTGTTTTAATAGTTTACTTTATTTTTCAACAGATTCATGTCTAAAGGAAAATATTTATTGATAAAAACTGTCTACTAGATAGTTTTTAGAGTTACATGAAGATATTATCGATATTTCATATTCTAAGTTTTATTAAGTGTGAATTTTTTTCAAAAAATTGAATCTATTTGAGTCCTTTTTTTTTGTTTTAAAGTTATGTTCATTCGGCTTTATATAATTATTACTGTATATACATAGTTACTTAACGACTTTCACTTAGTCGACAACATTCATTATAGACTCATCTGCACTATTAAAAATGAAATTCGTTTTAGACATGATAATTATTCGTCGACATACACAATATTTTCTTCATGAAATTCGTCGCACATTAATAGCCGAACGTATTCCTCAATATAAAGAACGTTCAGCTTTACTTCCTGGTGGTTTAAATACTCCATTTCCAATTGTTGTTGAACCAGACATTGATCTAGAATTATTATTTAAAAGTCATGAACAATTACAAGAAAATCTTGAACGGCGACATTGGATTGTTGATGTTAAAAAAGTCGAACATGATTATCATCTATGGAAAAAATTAAATAGACAAATAGCTGAAGCAACAGCACGACGATCGCAAGTAGATAAAGATGAATTTCTATATTTTATTTATGTAGCATTTCTAAATTTAGCTCGAAGAATTACATCAATGGGGCGAACAATTGTATGCTTTGAATGCAAAATTTCTTGTAGCTTGTTTACGTTTACCAGCACCATTACATGGAGCTGTACCTGAGACAAGTGGAAGAAAATTATTATACGAATATGGCAGTCAAAGAAAATCAAGTTTAACCATGAGATCATGGCGAGATTTAGCCGAAGTAACATCACTTGATGCTGCACCATTTTCATCATTTGCATTTGGTGAATTGTATGCGAATAATAAAATTTCTTTTGAATTTGAATTCGTTTGTTTTTTGTATTATTTTAGTGCTCAATTAGAATATACTTTACTAAATTATTTCAACAAAAGTCTCGATGCATATAATATGCAGCTTTGTTCAGCTGTTAATGTTGTTAAATCATTTGTAATTGAAGCATTTGGTTATCATTTTTCCGATATTAAAAATGTGTTTAATATTGTTGGTAAGAAAAACAAGTAAAGAAAAGTAAATTTTATGTGTTTCTTTTTTGCAAATAATATTAGCCGAACATGATGATGATGAAAATAGTGTTGAACTTTTACATCTATTCGGAACGTCAACACCACTTGGTATAGTATCTCCTTTTATACGGACAAATTTTACAAGAGATGCCTTACCTTATTATGTATACTCAATTGGACGAAATTATAATCCACACTCAGGACAATCATCATGCATTGAACTACTAGGTAAACTTTATTTTCTTTTAGTTGTATTAGTCGCAAAACTATGAATCACGTTGGCTGAACATAGATTTCATACTTAAATTTTTGATTCAAAAATAGAATACAAAAATGATTTCGATCTTTTTTTTATAATGCCATTACGAGCCTCAAGAGCCTTTGAAAAGTTTAGGCGAATATCCAAATAGATCGGAAAGAGTTCATTAACAAAATTTCGCTATAAAGTTTCCGTAACTCAAACTATTACGTTACTAGTGTTATACCATAATGCTCTACTGAGAAATCAGAATAGCATAGCTGAGAGTGTGATAAAAACTCGACATCTTAAACCTTAGTTTGATATTTGCTTCAATCTTCGACAAATTTTCAGTCCTGATATTTTCTCTATCAATAATAAAATTTATAACATTTTAATTCTTTATAACTGAAAAAATCGTAAACTTTCTTAATGTTTTATCTTTCCTTATTTAATAGCGTTCTCAAATGAGCATTCTCAACATTTACTCGTTGATGATCATCAAAAAGCTGGTGATGAACGAGCAAAAGCTTTTGAAGATATTCTCAAAAAATCTATCACCAACTGTGTAAACATCACCCATCCAAAAGATATCAATTTAATGTCGAATTCTGTTGATTTTATTTATATTCAATTGGCTACAATTATAACTAGTTTCTATCAACGTTTAAATTTGCCATTACGTGTATGTCTTTCACCCTCATATGAACTTTTATCGTATGAATCATTACGCTTAACCATCGAAGTTTATCTTCCATCACAAATAGATTATGTACGCGTTGGATCTGTGTCATTGATTGACGATTATCTTTCTCGAAGACTCATGATTAAACATAACTCGGACAAAAAAAGTTACGTGGCTATGGTACATGCCCGTGTTGCTGACGTATCACAATTAGCAAAATGTGTTTTAGAAGCGTCACAAACAATCGGCAGAGGCATTAAATTACCATCAGTATTGTCCATGCGCTAATTCATGTACATAAGCTAACTTATTGCTTTTTCATTATTTTTCAAATTGTAAAAATAAAAACAGAAAAATAATCTTATTTATTTTTTTTGTTACATATTTTGTTTATCTGACGTTAGTTTTTAAATTACAGTAGGTTTATTATCTAGTTTAACATCTATTTGCTTGTATAGTTTAGCCATTTGTTTTCGTTTTTCTACTTGTATTGAATCATGATATGTAAATACCTAAAAAAATAGATTTTGTTTTATATATCGAACATGAAAAATTATATTTCAATACTTACAAGATAGAGATACGTTAATTTTAAGTGAAGAGTTTCTTGGAAACTAATAAATATATCTTTGGCCAAAAGTAGCAAATGTTCAGCTTCAGATGAATCTAAAATAATCAATCGAATAGGCAAATAGTCGATGTGTAGAAGATTTAGTAACTCTGTTGGATTGTAATTTGTAAGAAATATTAGAGGATGAAATCGAATAAGAAAACATTCGACTAAATTGTTCAAAAATATAAAAGATTCAAAGTCGTGACCATTCTCGTTATTCTCAATCTGTCGAATTTCTTCAAACGCTCTTAAATATATCATTTATTAGTTAATTCTACAGCCATAATAAATTACAATCAATCACATATCTATCTTCATGATATCGATCTCTCAAAAACTGCGAGTTTTAGTAAATTATGCAACATAGATTGTATTGAAATAAACGATAAATTCCGAATTCATATTCAATCATGTGATTTCCGTACGCTGTTAAAAATTTTACAATCGAGAATATTGATGTCTAACTTACAATTAGGATAAACTCGATCATCAGCCATTTCTAATAAATACAATCGACCAAGTAACAATGCACATCGAGCAACATTATAACGATCACCATATTTTAAAAGTTCAGTAAGACAAAAAGTCAAAATTCGAATAGATTCCTGTGATGTTGTAAAATTTGACTATTATAGAGAACAGAAGGAATATTTTTCATTCAAAAAAAAAAAGAATTTAATGTACCTTATTTAATTGTACTTCATATAAAAGACAAAGAATTAAATAATGCTGAAGATTGTATTTAATACATAATTGTTTGCATTCTTCAAGAAATCCAAGACTTGGTACGAGATCATTTTTCTTTGCACAATTTTCAGTTAATAATAATAAAAGTCTTAAGAAAACGTTTGAAAAACAAACCAATGAAATACTATATATGAATCATTAATTGATTTACTTTATTCTTGATATGAGATCAGATACTTTCTCTTGATTTAATAATTTTTGTAACTCAATCGGATCTCGTTGACTATCATCGAGTTCATTTAAATTATGTAAACATATTGCTCGACTAATGATTAAGAAAAATAAAACAATCTTCTTATACAATATAGAAATCATCGTACCGTATTTCGTATTCAATTTGTGAATAGTTCGAAAATGTTTTAGCTGTAACCAATGCTCTATCCCATTCATTTCGTCGGCATTGAAGTACAAATTGAACATCGGCTCGAGCCATATCAATTAAATTATGTGCATTGGTCGATAATTGTACTAAGTCAATACTTTTATTTAACATTTGACTGGCAAGATTGTATTGACCCTTTTATTTAAAAATAAAAAACGAATAAGAATTATCATATTTAAAAGCAAAATTATATACTTGATTAAGTATAGCCATAGAAAGATATGAACATGCCAGAGCATAATAATCTGTATGGCGAAGATGTAAATGTTCAGTATTGTCCAGAACCATTGCAGAATAAAGTAAAACAAAATCACTAGAACGAACAAGTGAAATAAGAAGGTTTTTTAAGTTTGAGGAAATTTGCTTTTTGTTTTACTTGTATTGTGCTAAATTCCAAAAAGCTGTTTTATTCAAATAATGTACAGCGGCACGATTAATCCAGTTGAAACGTGACTTAACATCTGTTCGTTCAAAATCAGTATCGATTCGTTGTCTAAAAGAATTCAATTTTAATTTCAAAGAGAATAATAACAAAAAGCTACAAAACATACAATACTGCTGGAAGATTTCCTCGACTCATTAATTGTACCGATGGCCAACTTTCAACACAGACGCAATCATCCTATTGAATAAAAATGTTTTGTTTATTGAGTTGGATGCGTTTCTAAAACGAAAGCTTACCGTAGTTAAAAATCCTGCTGATGAATTATCAAGTTGTTTAAGATAACGATTATCGAGCAATAAAAGATTATCGACTTTTTGAGATGTATTTAATGTTGAAGAAATTAATTGATCCTAAAGAGAATAATTTGCAATAAAATACAAATGTCATGATACTATTCTAAATGAAATAAATGTGTTAACAACCTACGTGATTTGTCAGAGATTACTATGCTGAACTTACAGGCCAAGAATTACTAAGATGAGTCCGCTTCTCGGTCTGTTCGGCACTCTATATTCTTCAATTATATTAATACATTTGAAAAATTAATTTAATAACTAATCGATACCCGTGAAAGTCAGAAAATCACTATAGATGGAACAATTTTTTCTAAAAACAGTCATCAACATTTACATTTTATACTTACCACACATAATGGCATAATATCTTTTTCTGATCGTAATAAAGACATTGACATTCCATCGTTAAGAGCATTTTTCGCATCGACTCTTCAAAATACAAATACAAAAACAAAAAAAACCTTCTACTGCTATCGAAAGAAAATTGAAGAAAATTTTACTTAAAATTATAATGAGATAAAAGTGTTGACATATGTAATGCACCAATATCGGATGTTAATTGAAATCCATTTTGTTTATCAAAATAATGATGTAAATAATAATTTGCTTGAGAATAGTTATTTTTTGAACGTGCTTGAAGATAGTGAACAAATGGCTAACAAGAGAAAAAAAGAGCAACCGAAAGGAAATTATTAAACAAGCAATAGTCAATTTACTTACAACTTCAGCTAATTGTGGATAAATCTTTTCAATGGATCGAAGAATTTCTAATTCATAATCATCAACTAATATTCCAGCATCCAAACGTAATGCCTAGATTTCTATTGATTTTAAATTGAAAAAACAAACAAACAAACAGACTTACAAGTTTAGTTAACATATACTCAGCTTGTTTAATCGATACCGGTATTGTCATTTCTGACGATGAACTAAAACAAAGATAAGAATTTGGAAATATTACATCTTAGTTCGTTAATGCTTACTATTGTTTTGTTTGAATTCTCAATTCTCGAATTGAAGTATTCTTTTTTATTTCATTTGTCGATTCGAATTCAGTCATCATTTTGTCATCTTTTGGTGGTAACGGACATTTAAATGTGGATGATCGAAGATATGAATCAACATATCGACTAACATCATTCACAAGTTGTTCGAGACTCGGCGTTGATAACATTTCAAATGAACAAATATGACGACGTAGAAAGAGACCTATATTTATAAAGTTGATGAAATTCTTTGTTTTTTTGTTATATCAAAGTTAATCTTACCAACAAGACTCCATCCTTTGATTGTATAATGTAGTTTATCGGATTGATGACTTAGTTGATTTTCATTGGCAAAATTTGATTCACCACGTTTTTGAATAAATTTTGATAAATCATGAAACAAATCAATTATGTCTACTAAGGTTGCTTTTGCCAATTTAGCAATGCTAAACAGATTTCTTATCAAATTCTTCAGAGAAAAAATTCACATGAATAGATTTACCTTTGAGAATATTCAGTAATAAAATCATTATCAGGATAGACTTTTGCTAAATGTTGAATAAGATTTGGTAGCTCCCATTCAAAATTCTATTCAATCAAATAAGTTCTTATATAAATAATATATTTTCAATATCTTACTCGTGTGAGAAATAATACTAATGATGGTAGAAGAACATCTTCTGTGTAAACAAATTCAGGTGGTGTACTTCGTGTTGTTTCTTCTTCTTTCAAAGGTAAACATCGTTGATTCTATTCGTTCAGAAGTAAATATTATTAATATTTTTTCAATCTGATTTATTCTTACTAGACGACGAAAAATTGTTCGAAATAATTGAAGAAGAATTATTTTACGCGAAGATAGATGTTCACATAAACGTGCATAATCTATAAGACGTACTTCATCGTGTTGATGATTCATTCCACGATAGTGTATATTAGCATTTGGTCCATTTAAATCCATCTAAGTATAGTAAACATAAAAAATGAGAGCGTGATTAACTACTTTTAAAGTGATAATTGAAAATATAATAGAATCTTTTGTTAATCGATGTAGTTTTTGTTCATTAGTAGGGATGTAACAATACCATTTGGAGACGCCTAAAGATGGTCAATCTTCATAATGAAGATGTACCAATACCAACCAATACGTTGTGTCACTTATAACCAACAAACTTAGCTCTACCTGATAGGAGAATAAAACATACCAATACCAACAGAAAGTATCCCCAGTATTGGTAAAAAAACGGTAATTTTCACCAATACTCACCAATACTGGGGATAGTTTCTGTTGGTATTGGTATGTTTTATTCTCCTATCAGGTAGAGCTAAGTTTGTTGGTTATAGGTGATACAAAGTATTGGTTGGTATTGGCACACCTTCATTATGAAAATTGACCATCTTTAGGTGTCTCCAAATGGTATTGTTACATCCCTATTCATTAGGAGCGGACTCACGAAAAAATTATATTATTATTAAGAAGTATTTAAAAATATAGCGGACCAATCGTGGATAATGAATAAAAAGATGTCAGTGATAAACAAATCGAAATCGATTATTTTATTATAACTATCAAGAAAGTTCATTACCATGATCTCTTTCTAGTAGAAGAGTTTCTATAGCTTAATTATGATTATGAACGAATTGTACATAAAGTTCTTTTGATACTCATTGTGTATATTGGACTATACAGATGTACATACATCTAAAGTCACCCCGATCGATAAGTTACAGTTTATAGGAATGAAACACTCAATGTATTAGTAAATGGGTTTGTTGTTTTTGATTACTTTCAATTATTTTTTTTTGACGATATGTAGACTGTAGAAATGTTGTGTTTTGTTTTGCTGAAAAATTATTACTAGAGAGCCAATCAAGCAAAACTTTGCGGAAATCTTTCATACACAACATTGCATCAATAAAATTCTTCATTCGGTTCGTGCTTGTCAATACATTGATTGCAAATTTCTTCTCTATTTTCTACTAATTAATTTTTCTTATTATTATTATGTTAAGAAATTGAAATAATAATATTGTGTTTTTATTTCGTCCCTTGTAAAAAAAAAAGAAACTTCCAGATATCCTTGAAAGTAATTAAAACACAACTCATATATTCAATCGGATTGCGTCTATGACAACCGATGACAACACACACATGATTAATACCCGAAATTAATTCCGTCTTGCAACATGAACCTCAGTTTGTAAAAACAAGCTTTAGAAATATTCTCGATTTGTAGATCAGAAGGAACTTAGGTTTAAGAAGATGAAGGCTTCTCCGTACAAGATTATGTTGTTCTTTCGTACAACCACCTACAAAGTGACAGTCAAACAAAAGAAGATACATGAAAAGTGAATTTGTGTTATCAATATGATCAACATTCAATTGATAAACATCTCTATTAAGTCTTATTGGAAACTATTAGACACTGTCCATAAAACCTTGAACGAGTTGTTATTGAGGGATTCAGAACAATACAATCATATATCGACTATTAAAAAGCAAAGCAACATTTCATGAAGCATTTTGACGAAGAGCTCTTGGAATGCTCAAATTTCCTTATGGGATTACTTAAAGTGTCAGAGGAATGAATTCTATAGTTGAAAAGGAACCGATCGAAACAAGTGAAGTATATTCAGTTATCAGCTGCTCAATGCATATTTAAATCGTTTGAAATCCAATTATAATATCAGTAGTGTTACGATGTCTGAATGTGAAACGGCGATGAAAAACAGGCAGATGATCTTGAATACAATCGATGGCAATCACCAGATATGAAGACTATTTTTTGTTCGTGTACATAAAAGTGCTTCTATCGATAAATAAGAATCGAAATTCTCGAAGAAAATAATGACTAGATTAACGTAAAATAAGTAAAACAAACGTACGAAGTATACACTATCAACACCCTCTATCGTTACAACAAACTTAAGAAATCAAGTAAATAGTCAATGTCAATAAAGCGAACAATGGCTGAGCTACACTACAGTCACCTGAGTTGTGTTTGGCATTTTCTCATTTTCTTTTGTAACAATCACTGGCCATTGAATGGCTTCGGAGAATAATTCTATCAGGGACAACCGTGCGTACAGCACAGATTTAAAAGGATCTCAACTGCAAGAAAATGCTCGTCGTCCGTCGAATTCGTCGAGTGCCGATCGAAACAACGTCAAGGCACAATCTCGACCACAATCGAATTCGTCGAGTGCTGATCGAGACAACGTCAAGCCACAATCTCGACCACAATCGACAATTAAAGTTGTTGAAACTGTACCGATCGATCCGGACTATATGATAATCAGTGGCCATTTGCGTAGTAGCGTCTGTTTTGGTTATCCTGTTGCGCGAAGTAGCCATGCAAAACTAGTGCACAATGCTCAAATATTCAAAGAGCATTTTGAAATGGTTGCCTCGGAGCAACGAAGACACCCACATTCGTTTCGTCGTAAAAAGGATTGGCTCGGTCGATGGACCGAGGCGAACATCACAAGACAACGTCTCGTAAAAGAACTGCTTGAAATGCAAAAGAAGACAACTACTCCCAGTGGCTAACAGTAGAGATACTGAAATACATCAATGTACTTTTCGATCGATCGGGACGAAATACTGATGGTATGAGAACTTACTTGACGAACAAGAAAAGTACGAACAAAAGAGAATACACAAATAGGTCAGAGATCATGAGAGAGAGAGAGAGTAGCTAAAATAAATAGAAGCACAACATTAATGAACAAAGCAAATGGAAAGAAATAGAGTAGAGTAATAATTTGAACAATTGAATAGTGATTTGTCGGAGAAAATAAGCAAAATAACTAGTTGAAAGGATTCTTTGTTGTTGACAGGCAATCGCAACATTCATAATTCTGTGGTTAAAGTCGGATTCATCTATCTATCTTTCTATGCGCACCAACCACTAGCTACGATCATGTCCACATTGTCAAGTCATGCTCACGGTTAATAAGCACCTGGTAGCATCTCAAAATATATAAGATTTTACATAGTTGTGCTGATAGTAACCGCTCTTGTTACTTGAGTCAATCGATATTGCAAATCAGTTTTGCCTTTCGCTTTTGTTGCTATTGTTACTTCAAAAAACGAGACTACCAACCGATCATTACGTGTGAACGGCTACGTTATCAGACTGGCCGACTGCATCCTTTCCGTAAGGAATGTAAGAATTCTATGTGTTTTTCAGAATGTATATCAGATTATGTTTGGATTGGGAATTTTGATGTTATTTTATGGTTTTTGGGGGGGACTCAGGTGTAACTAACTAGATTTATTCTTCATCACGTCAGCCATACTAGACACTTGGGAGTGTATGAACTTTCATTAGCAGTTCTACTAAATGAATCTGATATTGTACTCGGATTGAGTCATATAAAAGAGGGCATGCCGATTGGATGTTGATTCACGGTTCCTATTGACACTTTTCTGCGAGAAAAAAATATTTATAATAAAACTCGCTTGTGATATATTGCCGTAATCAGAAGGATCTAATTCAAGAGCTGTTGACTAAATGCAATGGTGGTTCGACGATTTTCTATGATTTCTGCTAATGAATCAAGTTCTTTAATTAGCGATCATCACTGGCACACGCATCGATGTGGCAACTATGATTAATTTTAACGAATTATTCGCTGTTTTTGTTCAGTTCCATCACTGTGTAATGTTCTTGTACGCATACTCAAGCAATTACAATCATGATCATTTAGCAACCATTCTACTTAAAGGACAGCTTGATGAAATCTATACTTTGCGTATCAACAATAGTTTCAAGGTTAAAAATAGGGCAGTGTCAAACATGGACTTTCATGTATCCAATAAATCAATTTCATAGTATTCTCTTCAATTTTATTCACTAAAATCAAGAAAAACAGATCTCATATATCAATTGGCTTGTCTGTCAACAGCTCGACGAAGAAAATCATCAATAACAATTTCGTTTGTTTGTGGAAGTAAGATGTATGATCCATCTGATTTCAATCGATTGAATGTACTTTTAGCTTTTTCTATGAAGATCTCTTTGGCAACAGCAGCAAATATATCCGTTATGTATACTTTATCGGAATTTTTCGAAGTCATGTCTGTGATCATTCGAAGTAATTGTTTGATAGTCTCATCTTTCTGCTCCTTGACCTTACTATTAAAGCAGAGATAGCGTTGATCGCATCGTTTGAGAAGTTGATCTAATCGATGAGTTTGCGGTAATTGTGATAAATATATATCTAATGTGATTTCTTCGTCCTCAAATTCATCACCATGCGTGAAAATAATGATCGTATGATTGATTGCCGTTTGACCAAAGATTTCGCTTAGACAATCGGCTGCTTGTTTTTCTTAGGCTGTCAGCTGTTCATTCATATGCTGTACCAAACTCATGTTGTATTGCCTTGTATGCTATATTAGGATCAAGAAATTCCGGTGTATCCACAAGAAATAATCTTTTCTGTTCGAAGTCTCGAGCACCATAAGCACATTTCGTTGTGACACCAATAGGACTCTTTCCAGACTTGAGATATTTCTCATCAAGTATGATATTACCGACTGAAATTTTGCCTTTATCAGCAAACAAATCAACTCTTTAGGATAGTTTCAATGTATATGCTTCACCTGTGCCAGTTCTACCGAGTAAAATCGTCCGAATTTCATTATCTGCTTCAGTTGCTAGAGATTTGATTTGAGTAGTACTCGCTATCTTCAACCTACAATATCGCAATCATTGATACATCATAGAAAATAAGAAATAAAATATTTAAACAAGAGCATTTACTACAAAGCACAACAGAGCTTGCTTGACTTCTTTTTGGTAAAATAGCATAATTCTATTTTATTTGTTATAGACGATGAACATAGTTGGATAATCATGTCTTTATTCTAGTCTAATTCTGGCATATATACTAAGTAAAGAAAACCCTGAACATTTGTTTCTTCAAACATCTCACTAAAGCATGTTTTATAAAGAAAACGTATCTGAGAATATTCTTTGTCATATAAAAGGATTCCGTCTAACGACAACTTTTAGTGTGCAATAAAAATCTTAACGAAACCCGAGACAAATAGAATTTGGGTGTGGATGTGGATGTAAGTGAATAATAGTAAAATCCACACCCACACCCACACCCACACCGTTGTCCATCTTCATTTTAATCGTTGCTATCGCATGTAAAAATTAAATGTCGAAATACTTCATTGGGTTGTTCGGAAGTTTTATCTTATGATTCGTTAGAACAATACGAAAAGTTTAAATGTAAATACTTGATTCCAACATGTTCCGAATGCATGCAGCCCATGTAAAAAAATTGGATTAGTAATCAAATTAAAAATCTATTATAATGGCACTATTTTTATCTGATTTTATTCAGATTTTTCAACCTCAAACGGCAGATTATTTTTGATTTTGATCTTATTTTAATCGATTATAATAGTTTCGTAGGTAATCAATTAAAATTGATTAAAACAGAAGCAAAACCAAAAATAATGTGCCTTTTAAGGTTGACAAATCTGATTAAAATCAGATTATAATAGTGCCACTAAAATAGATTTCCAATCGCGTCAAAATCAATTACAATCAAATTTTTTACGATTTTGTTTTACATGGGAAACAATACTTGTATCAAAATTCAACGAACATATTCAACTATCTGGTAACTGTGCTTCATGTCAAATTCGATGTACAATTTGTTAATCGTTTATTACAAAACGAAATAGTTTTAGAGATCATTTTCAGGAATGTTCCATGAATAGATTGAAGAATGTGTTTGCTGAAATAGCTAGATCTCGAACGACAACAACAAACATTGCCTTTAACTACAGAGCAAAGAAATCTATCGTTGCTTCAAAAAGTATCCAATACATTATATTTGACTGAAGAACAACGGCTAAATCTACGATTATCACCGAATTTAGTTGATGTTGATATGATCCGACAAGCACAAGAACGTGAATGTGGTCGTTTGCATCATATATTGTTAATGATAGTATTTATTTTGTGTAACTGGAGAAAAGCGCCATGTCTTCTTTAGATTATTTCGTTTTCTGATTTTCTAGAAATCAGTATCTTTACCTTTTGATATATATTTGACGTGCCTACGTTGCATTTGCAAAATACATCTGTGAAGACATCTCTCTTATTACACTATATTGCTACTCGTTAGGCTTAGTCATGTCGCACATTTTCGAGTGTCTCTCCGATAAATACATTGTATTCTCTTTCGTACTGATACTTTTTTTGTTTGGTTGTTCAATGCGAGGACCATTAAAAGCGCTTGAATTTAGTGCAACGAGAAATCATATTATAGTCAGTATTAGTACATCTTTTTATCATCTTCTATTTACGAGATTCTATCCAAATCAACACAGCAAACAATCCAATTTAATGATTATTTAGCAAAGCTTATCACATATGTCTATGATATATTTATAGAGCATTTCAAATATAATGAATTGACGTCTTTTTTAATTGTTTTGCTCTGTGAGATTTTATTTTTGCGTCATACAAAAAACAACATCCTTGCTAAAAAAATAACACAAAATCAAGTTGTTGATAGTTTTTTGAGATTTCTTATTGAGAAAAACAATTTCAACACAACGAAAGTGATTTTAGAAAGATAATATTTTTCATGCGTATTGATTAGTTTCAAGGAAAATAGATTCAAGTTGGCTTTTTCGATTTGCTTTTTCTCTTCTCAACTATCTGGCTAATACGTTTAAGTTCAAATTCAGCCGATACTCGAGCTGGATTTCCTGGTGGAAGAGTTTTGGTGTAAATATCGACAACACGTTCAAAAGTTTGTTTAGCATTATCGAGTAATCGTAGATCGAATTGAATAGCGCCCATAGTTTCCAACAATTCTGCCACTACGTCTGAATCCGATGAAAGATTTCGTTCAAAAATAGTCAATGCTCGTGTACACATTTCGAGAGCTTGACGATGCTTTCCTGAATCTTGATAAACGTTGCCGAGCGTTGCCAAAGTAGTACCGACGCTAACTTCGTTGACAGGTTGCTGTGCCTCTTGCAAAGTTAAACAACGTTCTATTGCAGCGATAGCCTGGTCAAATTCTCGGCGAGCACAATAAGCATTGCCAATGGCAAGTAGGCTAGATGACTGAGCAGCAATATCATCAGGATGAATTTTTTCACGAATACCAAGAGCACGTTGATGATAATCTAACGCTAAATCATACTGACCACGAAGATGATGAATATGACCTAAGTCAAACAATGTTTCACATATATCTTCGCCTTTCTGATAATAGATATTAAATTAAATTTGGTTTATGATAGTTTTAACTCCATATCTAACCTGTTCTAGAATTTTCAATGCTCGTGTCTGACATTCCAATGCATACTCGTAGTCTCTGTTCTTCTCAACACACAGTCGTCCAATCATGTTCAGGATTCGAGCAGAAACAGGTGCTTGAATATTCCGAAACGTAGCTAATGCTAAATCGATTTCACCTTGTTCCAAATATTTCTGTGCTTTCAGTTCATCGGCGTTGCGAATTAAACTTTGAAAACAGATTAAAATAAACTAATCATTCTATAGAAACAACTATCAAACAATCTGATGTCTTTATAATACCTGGTGGGAATGGAATTTGCTGATGTGTTTGCTAGAGATGGTGGTGGTGGTGGTGGTGGAGGAGGAGGAGGAGTTTCAACTCGAGGAACTGCCAAAATTTCATCGAGTATTGCTTGAATTGATTGATCATGATGTTCTTTAAAATATTCTTGCGCAATAGTTTGCCCATCGGTGACTGCTGGTTTCATTTTAATGACTGACATTGGTCCTCGATGGACATTAATCACTCGAAATGAAATTGAAACACCGAATAGAATCACATTTGATGACGTTTTATTTGATACTTGACTGTACATACTTGTCGAATCACAATCAATTTTAAAGAGAACCGACAGTAGATCAGAACGATAGTTGGGCAATGATGCCAATGACAAAGCATTTGTTCTTGATTTAGTACATGGAAAAAAGTCACTTGTACACACAAGTTTACCAACATGACTTTCAAATCGATCTAGAACTGCTGTAGTTAATTTCATTCCTCGATAAAATTGATCACTCAATCTATGTTTCGGTTGTTGCTGAAAGAAACGATATGTATCAATGAACATAAATCGACACACTTTCAATTGCTCTAAATTGCGAAAATGAATGGCGTGAAGAAGAAAATGATTTGGGAATGGTGAATGAAAACACCATTGAAGAACATCAGATGATCGATAGGATTTTCCGAAATCTTCGATCATTTCCATTATTCGTCCATTGTCTCGATAGTACATTCGAGTCATTTCAATGAAGTCAGATTTATTTGAAAATGACTTTTTATTTGTTAGCTAAACAAAATAATTCATTTTTTCAAGATCTATGTTTGAATGATGTGAAAAAATCACTTGCCTCGTCTCTCCACAACTGATACCATAGAAACGAAGTCTCCTCTTCGAATGAAAAATTTTCCAGTCGAATTTGTTCGAAAATTTCGACTGTGTCCTTCAATGATCGAAATAGTTGTTCTTGTTGAGTGAAAACACCAATTAATTTTGGAAAATCACCTTTGATATCACGAGGATTGGAATCTACGATAAATATTGCTTCAACATTTTCCATCTTATGAACCGTCATCAATAATTCTATGTTATAAATTGAGCAGATGAAGAAGACACTCTCCTTAGTTGATCGTATTGCATCTAAACAAGAGCTGGAAGTCGAATAACATCGAGTCGAATCGTTTATTGATCGCAGGAAAGCAAGCATATTCGGTGACGATGACCCTTCAGCATCCAAGCGGATAAAAACAAGATTTTCATGATTATCATCTCTTCTGATCAGCCGGCGATCACTTTGAGAAGCATTCTCGACTTTGACAGATGAATCTATTTTCTTTGCCATGCTGGTCATTGATCTGGGTGCATTAATTACATTGGATGAAGAAACAGATTTTGCAGCATTCATTACTTGACAAACAATATTCAAATTATCTAAAGAAAATAGTTCACAGTTAAATTGAAATTCTGCTCAAAAATATTCTGAACTTTATTGAGCACTCAAGTTTCTCCGAACGTTTATTTCTTTTTTCTTTTACCAAATTGATGCATTTAGTAAAACTTCTTTCAGCTTTATTTTATCTAATCATCTTTTCCAAATTTTAAAACTGAAGTACATTTAAATTGAATTCGGCTTATATTCCAAATCAAAGATTTTTTTCGGCCACGTAATTCTATCGAAATGCATTGATTCTTCGTATACAAACTGAAAAACTAGTCATAAAAAATTCTTGATCAAAGATATTCTACTAGACTCACTGACTTCTATTGCAACGGTTACGAACAAAAACCAATGCTTTGACTCGTATAATCCATCGTTTCTTTTTTTTTGCGCTTGTGATCCGATAAAAACAAAATGCGCAAATAAATCATTTCGTCACTCAACGTACATCAACGGTAAAGTGTGTCAAAACAAAAAAAGTTGATTGTACAAATAAATACTTTGTTGTTGGCTTTGCACACAGATGCACAGCAAACATGCCGCTGAATGAAAACGTTTTTTTCAGCGCACGCAAATAATTTTAACGTTCGCATCAACGAGGCAAATTTTGATGATCTGAAATGCACCGCAATCGGTTATTAAAATATGACTTCTTTTCCATCAAACGATGAAATTTGACGACACATTCGCTCTCAAATTCTTTCGCATTGAATATTTTGACTTTTACGTTTTCTTTTGAGTTTTATATGAATATAGAAATAGTATGCTGCGAAAATAATAAGCTACTAGGTAGATGTGTTTGTAATACTGTATCAACTTCTGATACGAATCATTATATTTGTGATCATCTTACTTAAACATATTTCGAAGATTTTTCTTCTCATGCAGATTAGATTCTCTATCTTCATGGCACTGTATACATAAATCTAACCAAATAACGTGAATCCCAACAATACATATTAAATTTAAACTTTGAATTCGAATTGTGGAAAAGTAATCAATGCGTTTAAAAAGTAATCAGTAGTGGACTATAAGACAAACGTTTAAAACATACTCTCAGTAGGATTGCACAGGCATGCACAGTTGTGAGGTATTTTAGATCAGAATCAGATGAATATGAAATGATGGAATTTAGAATCTAGATCAAATTTACTGTGCAAATCGAAGCGTATTTATGCTTGAAGACAAACAAAAACAAGTGTTTTATTTCAAGCATCGTTCTTAGAAGAAAATTTCTCAGACGAACTAAAATGGAAAGAATAAAATTATTTTATGAGGTCATTTGATTATAGTTCATATATTCTTTTATTAATGAGAAAAAAGAGTGATTGAATAGAATAAGAAAAGTAAAATGATTAGTAAGAAAAATGAATAGAGAACTATTTGAATTGAAAGAGAATAAAAAAAATTATTAGAAAAAAAAATAGTACGCTCTTTATTGAACATAATTTAAATCTCTCGATGCTCATTTATCCTGAAAATGTACCCGCGTTGGCATCAAAAGTTAATATCATGTAACTGGTCACTGAATTTGCTTGGCTGACTGAAAAAGTCATCGAAGATCCATTGGATGAGACTAGAATCCAAAATAAATATTAAAATCGAAAATGATATAAAAAATTAAAAAAACAGCAAGAATAATTCTTTACTCTGTACACGAATAGTAGCTGATGAATCTCCACCAGACGCTTGAAAATACATATATCGTACAATACCAGGTGCATTTTCATACAATAAAATTTGGAAAGAATAATATTGAGTTGGTTGCCCGTAATGACTCGTATAATATTCGAATGTTGCTAATTGATTAGGTGATGTTCCTGAAACGCTATAGTAGACATTTTGGGACGTGCCCGCATAAATCATAAGATCGCCCCAATAACCCAAAGCTGTTGGTTCTCCAAAGCTATTAGTTGGGAGATTTGCATTTGTATAACTAGCAGAACAAGCGCCGGGACAGAGGACCTGAATATAATTTACATTTGACTTTAAAAAGAACCTATTGTTCTCAAAATAGATATTCTATTTGAAGACGACTTACCCCATTACTTGTAATAGATAAAGTTGATGTAGTGTAGCCGTACATTGTTAGACTCATTGGCAATGTCATTGTGTAATAAACATCATCGATTGGAAGTTGGCCACTCCATCCCGGTACGGCAATCGCACCTAAGAGTTGCACAGCAGGTGCATTACTGCATCCATCTGCTGAGCAACCAGTAGAAGATGAAGGACATACATTAGCAAATGAACCACAGTTGTTGAAATCAATTTGAATATTAAGATATGTTCCTGATGAACTTCTTGAATAACCAGAAGCACATGCCACTAGTGCTAGAATATAAAATAACATTTGTATCACCATTATTAACTTGTAGACTTGTCTACACTTACCTGTTGTTTCGCTAGTAGTAGTTGTGGTACCCGTTGTCGTTGTCGTCGTCGTCGTAGTAGTAGTAGTCGTTGTTGTTGTTATAAATTTTTGAGCGATGAGTATTGGTATAATCACAGCTGCTGCGAGAATGCATATTAGGAGTACACCAACGAGTCACTTAATTGGATCCATCCCTCTGCATTCAATAAAAAATTTGTGTTGGCTACAATATATAACTGTTTACGAACCTGGCACTTCTCACTGCATGTAGGTTTTCAAAATCAACATGAACGGAACGGGATGCTTGTAATTGATTTGCATTATACGGCTCAGGATGTGCATCGGTTCTCATTTGTTGAGCTGCTTGTGGATATTGTGCCATTTGACTCTTATAGAAAAGAAAAATTCTCGAATTTAAAAGAACAAGATATTACTGAGCACATATAATACATGTCTTTAAAACCATACCGCCCACCATAAAATTCCATTTCTTATGTCTTTAGGAAATCAGTTGATTATTTTTTTTTATACCTCTTATGACATTGAATAAAAGAAAGTGAGAAAAGGCAAAAATATCTGTATATTGTACCTCACATTGTGCGTACTGGTGAAATGTTTTCTATGCTGATACTTATGATTTCTAATTCGCATATATCATCTTTTGAGACGAAATGGAAGTGTATTTGGTTTTTTCAAGAGAAAAACCTAGAATTTCCATCATGCAGCTAATCATATTCTGATGGTTTTGTTATAATATTAGACACGCCAATGTTTCATTATAAGATTCGGGGAGACTGCTAGACGTGTAAACCTAATCTGTTCTATGTTGATTCTTAACTACAGCATAAATAAATAGATTTAGACTACTTCGAAAAGTTGCTGACTGAAAAATCCCACTGAGTTTCTTTTAAATTCCATCTCTCATACAATTTACTGTCATAATAGTAATCAGTCACTGACTTATCTGCTGAACGTTGGCATCGTGGTGTGAACTATTAGGAGCAGTCGTGTTAGCATTTTTGAGCGTTCGATAATACGCTTTGGCTAATCGCATATTGTCGAATTTTTAGGACTGCACAAATGTTAAAAGGATTCTGAATGTTTCGTTTTGATTCACCGTTGAAATAAGTAAGTGAACTGATTGTTGTTGTTGCTCGTGCTATTTTTTACACAGACGCTTTTGTTTTTGTTGTGTCAGCTTTGTACTTAGCACCTACTTAAATAATAATAAAAAACAATTTAAGCATATGCAGAATTTTAGTTGATGTGATCAGTAATGTGTTAAGTAGCAAAGACAATCCATGTGCTAGTTGTAACATAGCATACAAGCAATTTTATTTTTCAGCAATATTTTAACTTTTGTTCTTTTCTGTTATGAAAAAATCACACGATAAATTCAGATGAAATGTAGAATGGTGATCAAGTGCGCTTCAGCTTACTAATTGTTTCTTAAAAACAAGCTAGACAATCATCAGTTACGACTACATGATTCAGCATTTTAACATTTTTATCTACTTAAGAAACCTTTTCCATTGGGTGTGATCATAATAATATGAAAACATAGAAAAAATAATTGTCATGTGAAAATAGTTTATAATTCATCGTGGTTTGTTAACATTACTTCCTTAATTTAACATAAATATGAAAAAATGGTAAAACTCAACATTCATCGTATACTTTATCGATATAAAACGTTTTTCAGCAGTTGGTTGGTATTTTTTGTTTAGCATCCCATCGATCAATATTTCTGCTATCGCTTTCATAAGTAAAACGATCTAGAAATCCTATCTATTGCTTTGTATTATCCTCTGAATACAGATACATTCTTTCTCAATGTAAATTAGCCAGTACATTGCTTAAAAGGCTTAAATCTGTGCAAAAAGTGGGTCTCATTATGCAATGAGAATATGGTATTGATATTGATGTTTGCAACAAGAGTTTTACAGTGGAAATTTCAAGTACATGGTAATACAACCAATGATATACCGGTTTTATCATACAACCGAAAATTATTGAAGAATCATTTCGATAAATATGAATCTTGGCGAAGATGCTTAATGGTTATAAGGAAAGTAAATCATTGAATGCTGCAAAAAACATATTTTAGTGCATATCAGAATTTGTTTTCGAATTTTACAAGCTGGAAATCAACATTTTACTGTTAATTCAATTAATCAATAGAATAATGAAAGTAACGTTTGTGCATCAACATTTTTAGGCAAATTGATTTGTGTCATCAAAGGTACTCACGTATTACCCTATTCTATCATGGCTGCAAGTCTACTTAGAGCCGCAAAAGTTGTACTAGAACAAAATGAATGAATCGTTGTATTATGCAAACTATGACACCCCATTTTTCAATTTCTTTTTATTATATAAGCATCCTATTTGATTAAGATATTTTTCTTGTTTATTGCTTTTATTTTTGTGAAACATGATCTTAAACGAGTGTTGAAATATATAGGGTAGAAATTTAGACCCATTTCTCTGCAATTGTCTATGATGGTTTCTAGAGACTCTCCATACATCATAATACAGACTGTAACAGAGAAGCTCCACAGACCATCACCGACCGTGATAGACAGATTCCAGAAAAGGAGTTTCATCGTGTTTCACATTTTAATCCCACAGGGATTGCGCTAACAGCTTTTTTTCTTTCATACTGTTGACATTGTAAACTAGTCGGCTCGTAATTGCTCAATGTAGATTAAAGATAAACGTTGGAAGAAAAAGCAAAAAGCTGTTCTTTTTCATCCTACATAAAAACACATTTTATGCTACGACTCAGATGTGCGCAGTAGATTGTGGGCAAACTCAGACTTTTCCCCCGGTAACTGTAAAAGAAGCTATACTTCATCACATTTCAGGCGAATCTCATTGTTTTTAATGAATGATGAAATAGTGATCGAAACAAGCAGCACTCTACTTTAATGACTGCAATGTGTTAGTAGCCAGTTTTGTGCACTTTGAATATACTTAGAGTATAGACATATGTCTCGTATCATAAAATACAGATGAAAGATACTATGAAACGAAGTAAAAGATATCATACATGAATGCCAGAGTTACTTCAACTAATTTTACTTAATATTATTCTAAATTTTAGAATTCTAGAGAGCTAGCACTTATCATACCAACAAAGTTAAAATCATGCATACTAAATTGATTTAAAGAGGCAAAATATTTTGAATTTAGTAGAAGTGATCATTTTCTGCAGTAATTCTCAAAACGTTCCTAATGAGAATACTTCAATAGTTGCTAACGATTATATACCCTATGAGAAAGCAACCCAAGCAGCTTTATTTTTAGTATCGCCATGAGGATAATCATTGAAAATCTTACTGGCGAAGTACGAATATAAGGAATTGATATTGAACACTCTACCATTGTAAAGCAACTTCTTTATGAGAAAGTTGGTGACGCTCTAAAACGTATACGGAAAGTGACGTTAATTTCTGATAAAGATACATTGGATGAAGACAAGGATACTCCTTCATCATATGGTATGGAAGATGGTTCCCAACTGATATTATTAGATCTCGATATGCAACTCCGAAACCTTGGCAATGTTGGATTGAAATTTATCGGTGTGAGCAATCTTGCAAGCCTTAAACGATATAATTGGTCTCAAAATGCTCCACGCTAACGAAGAGCTAGATGTGCTTTGTGCCTTGAAGGTCAATGTACCAATAGTGAATGTAATGCTTACAATCAACTTGTCCATATGTATCAAATGATATTTCATTCAATTCAACTAAATAAATCGTTCGTGTTCCCGTACAATGCTATCTTATTTTTCAGCCAATCCTTCATACATGTCAATTACTAGGATGAAAGATCAGCGTTTTCTAGTGCTTACTTATATTACCTCATGATATTGTTATTGCAGAGTCTCAATGTAGCAAATCGATCAAAAAAACAAATATCTGGTCGATTCGTCTATCTAAAATATTCTGAAATTCCACTAATATTTTTATGAAACGTCTGTATGAAGAGGATTAATCTTGTAATTAAACTATTTCGTAATATTTCTACGAATTCATTACTTTGAGTCATGCTGATCAGATCATTTTTAAATCTTCAGAATTGCGGGTTCATATATCGATTGTTGTATTTCTCAAAATGAAAAAAAACTGCTTTTTATGCTAGAATACCGACTGTTTTGCATGTTGGTGATGAAACTTTTCTTAGAAAAATAATCACCGGTTTTGTGACCAAAAGCTACATATATGGGAAACAATAAAAAATATATAATCGTGACATCGATATACATATTAATCGGAGTAGATTTAAGAACTAGCTCTCTAAATCAAGCTTTACTATAATTATCATGTATACCATACGAGCATCAGTAAACAGCATGAGATGACCGTACATATGAATCGATTTATTGTCATATCATGAAATTCTTCATTTTTTTATTACGTGCACGAGGAACCAATGAAGAAATCAGATATTGAACAAATATATCAAAATTGAAAATTTAAACCTGGAATAAGATAAAATTCTGCTGTTAAATTGAGTTGAAATCAAAGAAAAATATTTATTTTATAATGACGTTTTTTTTTGAATAAAACATTAAAATATCATTCGTCAATTTCAAACCAATCAGATTTACTCAGTCTGATTGATAGGGAGGCCGTCGCTCAGGTTTTTCTCTTGTTCTTCTAATCGATGGTCACCAAGTATCGTTCACTTTTCACTTATTTATTTTAATCGACAATGGAGAGAAAGTAAGTTTATTGTTAGCATTCAAAATTTTTTTGAATCAATGAAATTTTTGTTTCTCGTTTAGTTTTGTCAGTCCTACATTTCCTAAATCGACAAAAGCAACGAAAAATCGACGTCGTGAATTAACTGAAGAAGAAATCGATGAAATTAAGGAAGCATTTGAATTATTTGATAACGATAAAGATAATGAACTTGATTATCATGAATTTAAAGTATCAATATTTGTTTCTTGTTTATTCGTGTAATACACTCACTATTCATTGCTTTTAGGTTGGACTGCGAGCATTAGGTTTTGATGTTCATAAAGCAGAGGTTCAAAAATTAATGCGTGATTATGATCGGCAAGGTAAAAATAAAATAACTTATCAAGATTTTCATGAAATTGGTAAGTCTTTTGTATTTAATTGTTGTGATAAAAAAAGTCATATTAATAAATTGTTTTTAGCAACTGAGATGATAATTCAACGTGATTCACGTGATGAAATACATAAAGCATTTAAATTATTTGATGATGATGAATCAGGAAAAATTTCCTTGAAAAAATTACGACGTATTGCACGGTAAATAGAAGCAAATGTATAACAATTTATATTCATTTTGTTTGCCGATTGCAGAGAACTGGGCGATAATGCTAATGAAGAAGAACTGAAAGCAATGATCGATGAATTTGATTTAGATGGAGACGGAGAAAGTAAAACCAATCTGTTTATCATGATGCATTCTAAAGCAGTTTTTGTATTTTTTTTCTAGTTAACTTTGATGAATTTTTGGCTATGCTTAATTCAGATTAATATATAAAAATGAACTACATGAGTCAGATTGAATTGTTTTCTATCTTATTATAGGCTTATTTACTGTAGATTATGCTTAATTAAAAATAAAATATTTACATTTTTGACATCTTTCTAGATAAAAAAAATGCTAAATAATCAACGGATTCGCCATGAATCACGTAAATCGAAAGTACGTTCTCAATTTCTATATCATTTCTAATCTATTTGATCTCGGCCATTAGTCAAAAACATTGCCAAAAGAAAAATCTACTGTACTCAATAATAAAGCGAATGACATGCTTGGAAATGTATCGAAGGTGATCAACGGATATATATAGATATATATTAAGCAGATCTATTTATGATTATGTTAGCTTATTCTTTTAATAATATTTATTATATATAAGAAAAATGAAATTCTAATGCTAATTATTGGGTCAAACTTATTAAATTCTCTCTTGATTCAGAATAATTTTAATCGTAGGTGCTTTGCTAAAATAATTTTATAAGTAATATTTTAAGAAAATAGGCAGTGAGTTTTCGTGTTTTAGCCTGCTAGCTTAGCTGTATCGTCAAAACAAGGATCACCTCCAAAAACGACTACTGAATCTACACATGATTGGTCAAATGATAATATTGGCGACGATGATAGTCGGTAGGTTGGCATTAAAATGCCAAAATTCAAATAGTTTCATTATCTAATAACAATAGTTCGTGGGATGAAAACAAATTAGGCTGTTAAGGAAAATAGTCATTCAAATTTTTTCAATAGCTTTATTTTTTTTATTTGAAAAATTGTTTTTTTTAGAGGTAATGTCAATGCACCTCCTGTGGTTCGACGACTTACTCGTCGAGCAGTAGAAGAAATCATTGCTACAGGTAATATTGAAAAAGAAATATCGCTATTAATAATATGTTTTAATGTGTTGCTGATAGATATCCCGACCATACTAATGGATGATGCTGATGGTGAAAGTACAATTGATATGAAACCAGAAGTAGCTGTTGCTCCGCAGTAAAAATAAAAGTTTAATTTTCAATGCGAATTCCTTAAGATAAATTTTTCTTTTAGATTTTCTACTAGTCAAGTAGCTTCATTCAAAGAAATAGAAAAAGATTTTGTTCGTCAACGTGTCAGTCAACATATTGTAAGAATCAAAATGAAATCAATAGTATTGACTTTATTTTTGCTGTGTGATAGGGTGCTAAAATTGATATTGGCATTTTATATACTGAACTTAATTTACAAGAAGAATTCGACGATGAGGTAAATAGTATTTACTTCACAGAAATCTATTTCGTTTTAATATATATTTATTCCAAAAGGAACTTAAACCATGGAATTGGGACAAAATTTTTGTTGAAATTCGAAATGCAATAACAAATCCAACTATTCAATGATAAACTAAGTTACATCTGCTTGCTTTTCTTTCAATAATAAACTGTGCTAATAATTATGCAAGGAAGAACTTCTAAACAATCGCTCTTCTCTTTTTTTATTGATCTCAGCGGACAAATACAACTAGGATTAGTTAATAAGAAAGTTTGAAAACATCAAAGATCCATATGTTTTTACATAAAATTTCCTCTAGGTCTAAAACCTATTTTCCGGATTTTTCAGCTTTAACATATAAATTGCTAAACTTCACAGAAGTGAGTGAACAAATGAATATGAAACTTATTTGTCGATTCAATAATTAAAATATCGTACTAATCGGCAAATGAAGATTAATTTTTACCTTTGAAAGCATCATTTCCTTCAGTACATGAACGATAATGTAACATACATGAAAAACGAAGATAAGAACAAGGAAATGTCTATGAATATTAATATAGGCGTTCATCTTTTACTTCAAATTTACGTTCTGAGTTATCATAGCATAATATCTATCGAACTGAAATATCCAAAACTATTAAAAAATAACAATCATACATAACACTGACGTATTCTTCTTCTTCTTTATTTTTGTTACTAATAAAAATAAATTTTTTCACCGCTCCTCAAAATCTACTAAAAATATGCTCAATTCATACAAAAACAGGAAAAACTGTTTTCAAACGTAGCATTTAATAAAGCCTTTTTTATTTATTCGAACTCCAATGAAAATTTCATCGGTTGATGTAATGATCATTCCATATGCATCGATTTCTGTAATCAATCCAATAACATGACGTTGATTTGTTGTATCAAGTTGTAGATAAATATGTTTTGATGGACCTGATTTCAATGAATTGGTTTCATCAAGTTTAAGAAGAAGACTATTATCAGAAAATAATGCCATATCCCAACAAAAATATGTTGTATTACTATAATTATTAACATGTTGATATAATTCTTGTCGTGTCTTTTTATTATAAACATGTATAGCTTGTCGTCTTTTATCTAAGACAGCTACAACATTTTTATTCACAGATATATGTTTGGGTACAAGTGATTTTGGGAATTGTACATGTAAATAACGATTTTGAAAATAATCATCAAATTTATCTGAACATTTTACTTGATCAGGTAGTTGATAATAGAAGAGACTCAGTTGCTTTTGATCAAGTGACCAAAGTACATTTGTATCGATATCCATGGTTAATTCACGTGATGGATAATTATGCAAACATGTTCCATTCGGTACTAATTTACCGTCATGTGTAAATAAATAGATAGTACCATATAATTCAGTTTTCTTACGTTTTAAAACAATAATCCATAATTTCGACAGGGCAAATGAATCAATAATGGTTTGATCATCGTCATTTACTGTTGATTTTGGATTATCATTAAATAATGTAATGTCACGTATATATGTTGGGTTTTGCCGAAAATTATTCATTCTATTGAATTCATATATTGATATATATCCTAAAAATAAACAAAGGAATCTTTTATTTTCATTTTAATTCATTAAATCGAACCATATTTATCACAAACAAATAATTGATTATTATAAGTACGAATATAATACGGTACAGATTTATAATCGAGTTGCCATAAAAGTATTTTATTTGATACTGCCGGAGCAGATAGTGGCAATGATAATGGGTCGATAGTAGTTGGTTTATTGAGAATGGTTTCAATTGGGACATCATCATCCTCAGAATCAGATTCAGATTGTAGATCATCATAAAGATTTGAGCATTGTAATAAATGAGAGTTCAATGGAATGAATTTTAATGTACCCATTAGTAATGAATTATCAGTTTTTTCAGGTAATGTCAAGACGGGAAACTAAATAGATTTTCTTTGATTTTTATTAAATAAAACAAAGAAACTGATCATACTTTTATGTCATTCGAAGCAAGAAATTTACTTAAATTATCCAATTGCCCTTCTAGATGTTCGATTTCGAATGAAACATTGCTGATTTTTTCACTAGTTTTATCCTTAGATCTAAGTAAAATATTCATATAATTTTGTCAATATAAAAAGAATGTCATATACCTCAATAAATCATTAATACGTTTATCAATCGATTCGTAGTCCTTAACCAATTGATCATGTGTAAAACTAAAAAATAATAAATGAATTCTATTTTAATAAAATCAAGTATAATTTTTATTGTACGATTTCTAGTGGAAGCGATTGAAAATTGTACTTGATTTACTTCAATCTTCATGCAAAAATAAGGTTCTTAAGGAGTTTCGAACACAGACGTAAGCGACTAGTCTTAGTTATTGTTAACATGAAAAATCTACAAAATTCAATATTATTTTATTCTACAGGTACTGTTCTTCGTCGATGAGACTTCTGGTAAGACATTATCGAAGTTTGGATAGATTTTAGATTAATATTCTAATCAGTACTAAATTTAAACATTGCTGACCAACGATTCTATTAGAAATCATTTTTTTGTTTGAATAAAAATCTCGAAAATATCATGACAAACGATTCCATTTTTCGACCAAAACAATTTAGCAGCAAAAAGTTTTGAAAGATCTGAACAATAAAGTTTGAATCAGTTTTGACGTAGAATAAAAACTCTATCAATGACTAGTTTTGGCAAGGGAGCCGTCAATCGATTGATCATTGTTTAATTCCAAATAGTCATAGAGAACCAACTCAAATTGTTTTCTTCTTCTAAGTAACAACGCCAGTGATAGAACAAATCCAATTTCGATGCTGATCTAAAAATCATATGTGTAACAACATAAGATCGCAGAATCAGTTAGCCGAATTCAATTAATTTGAATCATCTTTTGATAGATATTTTGCTACTTTCTTGGCAAAAATTTACCAAGTATTGCTCTTTTCATCTTTCTGATATTCAGAATTAATGACACAAATCAACTTACATTTCTTTGTAAGTTCGACGATGTTTTTCAATTAAATCAGTATAAACATTTTTATAACTAGCAATTGTTTGAATTAAGGTATCACTTTGTTGATGAATTGATATCTGTAAATCACGTGCTTTGCACCTACATGCCTCCAGATCTGTTTCGAAACGATCTAAAATAAGTCTGTTAGTATTTAAACAAAATCTTCTGTCTTAACATACTTGATTCTTGTTGTAATGACTGAAATTTTGTTTTACATAGATTCCATTCATGTTTAATCTCATCATTAATTACATTTCGATGTTCTTCAACACATTTAACACAGATAACATTATCACAATGAGTACATACAAGTAATGCTCCTTTTATATTACATGATTGACATTTAGCTATAAGTAAACGATTTGTTGATTGTGATAAAACTGATGATGATGATTGTTGTTGATTAAATATTGATGATGTTGAACGTTCAGAATGGGATGGATCATAATAGGAATTCATTTCTTGAGAAAACATACGTACGGGTGTAGATATTGGTATAAATCCATACGTTGTTGAAATTTGTGACATCGATGATGTCGATCGAAATTTTATTCCAGACGAGAGAGCAGATAGTCGACTTTGATTTTTCTTAAACTGTGCTACCATGGATGCAAGAAATCCATCAAACATACAACCATTTTCAAATTCTTCGCGTGAATTATATTGATGAAGTTGTTGACATTTAGGACATACTAGTATTAATGCATCATTATCAAAACAACCTGAAATGCAATCATAACAGAATGAATGAGAACACGGAATCTAAAACAATCAATCAAAAATTTGGTTCTTAATAAAAGAAAGAAAAAGTTCATGTACCTGACGAGGATCACCGAAATAATTACGGCAAATCGTACATGTAATAAGATTTACATTGATCATATTGAAAAAAAGCAACGAATAAACCTATAAGAACATTGTTTTGAAATAAAATCAAAATAGAAAAAAATCTGAAAAATAAACTAGACAACGATAATAATAGTAGTGAAACTATTTAAGAGAAATAATTATCTCACAACATGTAAAATGAATAACATTGATTCTTTCACGGTTATTTAATTTCATTAACTCATCACTTGTTACTTGTTTGCGAGTAAGGAATAGAAAAGTACTGTTCGATACAGAGATATTTTTATTCTATGAACCTAGAGTCATAGTATTGAGTACAAACTTAAAATTACAAAATATTTCTGCTTTTGTTTCTGGTAAAAGTTAATTTCTAAATTTTAATTTGTTAAAATCCCATTACGATATCAACTATTACATTGATCATTAAACTATTTTAACGATTTCAAATCATAAATGAAATCTACGTGATAATATTTTTCTAATAAATTCAATTTGGTTAGCTCATTTCGTAATATATTGCTATAGAAATAAATGAAACGAAAACGATAAATTAATAGATGAGAAGTATATTATCCTCTTGTTTTCTTCAGAAACAAATGTTGAATGACCAATCTGACTCAAAAAAAAAATACAAACTATAAAGATCTTACATAGTATTAAAAAAAGCAAAGAAAAAAACTGTTCGATAACATTGCTAATACAAATAATACAAGCGCAATTTTTAAATGGCAACAATCGTATTGTCTAGATGTAACATTCAATTGAACCATTTTGTTGATTTCTTTTACATCCAAGTAAAATTTCTTGATTTGGTCCAATGGCAAGACCATAGACAGCTGTGCGTTCTATTTGTGATATTGGTATACCTTTAGAATCAAGTTCAACAATAAGATGATGAATTGTTTGTGGTCGACTATATGGTGCTAAATCTTCATCTAATTTAAGTACCATGGAATTATCGTCACGAAGCTAGAGAAAAGGTTTTGTCAAAGAATCAAAATATCAAAAAATTCACTTACTAGAACATTCCACAGGCGAAATGAACCTTCGCTACGTAAAAGATTTTGTATTTCATCGACTTGTTCTTTAGTTTGCTTATCGAATATGTGTACACTTTGAGAATTACGTTCAACAACTGCAATTGATGTTTGATTTTGTGTTATTCTACAATTAAAAAAGCACGTATACTTTTCGTACTCTTTTGAAAAATTTATTTATTTTTATCGCAGCTTAAGAGAATATCCCATGACAATCAAATCAATTGATAGAGAAAACTGTAGTCCAACTAGAAAATTACATGCAATTGAACGAAATTCAATAATTGGATATTTCTCTTGATTAATTATATTATTCGAAACAAAGAAGATACATACCTAATAGGTTCAAAGTCACGTCCAAACTTTATAAAATCATCTCGATGTTCAATTGATTGTTGAATTAGACTAACACCCATTGGTAATTGATTATAGTACACTAGAAACGTGCAGCAGTATCAGTACGATTGAGTTTTTACTATGAAATAAAATACCTGTATGTTGATGACGATCAACACCCCATAAACACATGAAGCTTGTATCGGCTGATAGTTGTCGAACAGGAAAATTTTGTAAACAAGTATCAGCTTGTTGATTACCACGGTGATCAAAAAAATAAACTGAGCTTGTATCTGTTTGATCACTTAAATCTATAATTAGTGAATAATTTAATTCAATTAAAAATCTAATTTTGTTTTAACATACGAGCTGACACCACAATGAATGGTGTATAAACAGTAAAAGCTTCGATAATATGTGGCTTTTGGCTGGTGCTATTACCAGGAAATAAATCAAATTGACGTAAATGACGAGGTGAATTACTTGGATCATTTCCATTCAGTTGATAAAGATCAATACAGCCATATTTATCACAGGAAAAAAGAAGATAATTTTTTTTTGCAAGAATACATAAAAAATGTGGTACACCAGATGCATCAATTGACCATTGTTTTTGTCTTCGAACGACAGGTGCTGCTGGAAATGAATCTTCTTCTGATGTACTTAATGACTCGTCTTGTAAACCATCTGTTGTACTCATAGAACTCTGTCCACTTGATGTTATAAATGATGATCGAGATACATTACGGTTTGACATTGGCTTAGAATCCCATTGTAATTCCCCAAATATATCAGATATAATCACCGGCTTCGAAGAGCTCAAATGAGGATACTAAAAGTAGAAGATATTTTTCATTTCTAAGACTAACAGATGACGGGAAAATGGCTTTTAACAATTCAGAATGAAACATGAAATTTTCATATGTACAATTTCAAGAATAAACTGAGCTTAGATTATATAGCGAGACCACTCATTCTACAGCCAACACTCATAAGAGCTGCAATGCCTATTTCAACTAATTAGAAATCTATTGTTCTTTGAATACATTCAACAGGAGAAAATCGATCGATTTTACATCAATTGTTTAATCTGAGTGATGTGTTGAACAATTTTCAGAGTTCTACTTTATTAGCAACTATAAACAAACATACTTTAAATGTACTAGATTGAATATGTTGCAATCGCTTCGAAATCTGCATATTTAAATGCTCTATTTCTAGAAGAAAATCATCCGCATTGTATGATGCATTTGGATTTTTATTTCTATTTAAAAAAGGAAGAAATACAAGAATTCTTTTTCTTGAATAATATTCTTACTGAAAAACACCGTCAAGCCGTTGATTAATCGAATTGAAAACTTGTTGAAGATCTGTATGTTTAACACTAAGAAAGTATAATTTACACTAAATAGTATTGCTCAATTATGTGTTTATTCGAAAATTAAACGATTTCAAACCTACTTGGATGTTATTGATTTAATATAATCTTCTAATTTTATTAATAAACTATTCTTTTCACTTTCAATCGATTGAATAATATCTACGTATTGTTGTTCTATTATTTGTCTGATTCGATACATTTCATTTTCGATAACAATAAAATCTTTATCATATGTATCTAAATAAAATAGAATGCGAAAATCACCATTGAATAAAAGTAAAACGTCGTTTTTTTTACTTGACAATAGACATAAATTATGATATTTAGTTTTACATTTTAGCCAATGTTCGTTAAGTGTATCGTTTAATTGTGATTGATGTTTATTAACACATACTTGGCATATAACTTCATCACAATGTGGACAAATAAATAATTCGGTTTTTGTTGAACATAGTGCACATTTAGCAACAATGCATAATGCTTGTGGATTAGTTGTCATACTCAGAAAAGAAACATAAACAATAAAAATTATATCTAAAAATAATAAGAGATAGAAGATATAAAATAACCTATTGGTATTGTAAAAGAGTCTTATGCTTTCTTCAGATCAATATTGTTAATCAAAATTTTCAAAACTAATAGTCTCTTACAAGAGAATTTCATTTGTGATTTAATTTTCGTCTAAAGCCTGAAAGATAAATCAAAAATGAACGTTGAAGACATGTAATGTTTTCCACATTCTCGTCGAAATTGGTAATATTCTAAAGCAGTGTCACCTCAGAAAAGATCAACAATTTCATGCGCTCATGTCCCGAGTTCAATTGGATGATTTGTCGATTGTATCGACTAGCTTATAAATCAAGAGAGGCATTAGTTGGATTCTATCCCCACGTCTTATATAAAGCATAATGAATCATGCATTTGTTTTAACGTCGACAAAAATACTGCAAGTATTTGTGAAGATACTATTAGAATGTGTTTTCTAATGTTTAGGTATCTATAAACTGTAAGTCCTAAGGAAAAATAATGTCGATGGAATAAGTAAGGCATAGAAAAACACTTTCATCCAGTTTTATTATTCAAGACTTTCTTTGAATTCATATCATCCGGTTTTTGTAAGTTCAACATTATTGAACAAAATTTAAGCGGCTCAACGATGATTTCAATAGAGAGAAATATAGAAAAATATTCGAGTGATAAATTTCTTCGAGTGCAAGCATTCGGTAAGATGATTTCGAAGATTTAATGAAATATTTTATATTATTTTTTTTCCGGCTACCATCAGTTTTCTTATTATCTAATATCTATCTAGGAAAAACGCTAACAAAAGAAACATCGAGAAATGATTTAGAATTCAAAATATCATGCAATCCTGCACATTAATTAAAACATTTCTTATCCAAAACTTGTTCTTGATGTCACACTACACAAAAGAAGAAATGTCTTTAAGTATTATTTGTAAATAATGAAATACTTAACTCACAGCTTATGTTATTCTGAAAATAATATTAAATTTTCATTCAAAAGTAAGTTTCAACTCATCGTACAGCTGTATCAAAGGTCAAGACATGCACGTTTTGAACAAAACTTTTCTCAGATTCGTTTCAATTAATTCTATCGGTTTCTGTAACATATCAGATAGAGTATTGAATTTCATTATAGAAAATGACTTAACAATGAAAAAATAAATTCTTTCTTTATACAAGAAATAGATTTCGAGAGTTGTCAAAAAAATATTCTTGATAATCATATTGTTGAGTCTTGCCGATCTTTTAGTCAGGTTTCATAGAGTTTAACTATTACCTTGAAATGATTTGTTCGATCTAGGAAATCATTCCAAGATCTGTATCATTGATCATACCTTCGTTATCACTTAAATAGTTTTTGAAAGTTCAATTCTAATAAAAAGAATCACCGGCATGACACGATATGTCTATCATCCACTAATAGTTTAAGAACTTATTATCTAATGCATAAACAAAACAAGTTTTGGTATAATATTCTATTTGATACATAAATAATACAGTTTACCATTATAAACTAAAAATGATTTTATTGTAACACATGTGTAGGGATAAATTATTTAAGATCTTGCGAAGCAATAATGATTAACATTTCTATTCATGCAGAAACAGAATTAGATCTTCTAATTTTGTTTTTAATCAAAACATTTTCCTCTCTATAATGTTTTTTCAACTTACTACAATTCACATTTGTAATTATTACCAATCAAAAAGTACATTTGAGATGGCGCTATTTCTCGAAATCAATTAAAAGTAAAATTTATGATTTTGTAAGTGGAAATGACATATTATCTTTCTTTTATGTTCGCAGTGCCCTCGTTAGCAACCAGTAGTATGTGAACGAACGTATAAATCATAAACAGTGTTAGAATCAAGTGACATTAACAAAATTTTGTTTATAACGATTGAATATATCAATGCTAATCTGACACGCAAGCAGATTCATTTTTTAAGGTCTCTACAGATATAGATAAAATGAAAAATCATTGCTATGGAATCTTTCCTTTGTAATGTTTCGATGCGGGCTTGCACGCAATCCTAGATTATTTCTATTGAGTCTGTATGAGACAGAAAATGTTGATCAGATTGATCCCATTAATAGTGCATGACGTCATTTATCTACTAACAATATAAGTAGTTGATTCAAAAGAACAAATTCCTCAAAAAATATTCGGAGTGTATTTTGATTATGACCATAGGATTTTGAAGCTTCAATCGGTTTTAATCATTTTTTATTGCGTACGGATCAGAGACCGTCATAGGGTACTTTTTTCTGTCCTGCTCTGTCATGTCGCCCTGATTTACATTGCCCTGACCTGCCCTGACAATAGCACATCGAATTTTTCTTTGTCCTATCCTATCCTTAGGGCAGGCCAGGACGCCTTGAAGAGTTTCTGATTTAATAAGTGATTCAACAGTCTTTAGAAAAATGTTTAATTCTGTTAGATTATATTCCCGATATCTGACTGAATCAAATTGTCTTTTGTTAGAAAAAGAGATGTATGAACAACAAATATTATATCGGATATATTTCTCCAACACTAGTCTGAGAAGGTGAAAAAGCGAAAATCAAACATCTCTAAAGTTCTTGCAACTTTAACATGGGGTAGTGTCATTTCTTTTTTTCTATTAGGTTTTTTTAATGTTACACAAGAAGGGAGAGAGCATGCTTAATGACGACTTTTGTAGCACAATTAGTTCTCTTTCTAATGGTGTGTTGGAAGGAAAATTATTCTTGATCTTTTCATCGATAAATTAATTTTTCTCGACGAGGCTAAGCATTTTTGGTTGTTCTCGCTATTTGACCATTTTATTGCGATTAAAAAATATTTCTTTAATTACTTTTTCCCTTTTGAAGTTCCATGCCTAAATATAATTAGACCAAAAGAACGCAAAAATAGTCTAGTTCACACATGCTTTCTAGAGATAGTGGCTGATATTTTTGTAAACTGATGGTTATTGCGAATGGTTCAGTTTTCTAAAAATGTTTTGTTTCAAACTTTAATTAAAGAGTCAAGAATTGATCAAGAAAAACACTCAAAGCTGATTTATGAATCGAGTTTTCGATGCGCTACATTTTGGTTGATTACTTATTCAATTTTGACCAATATAGCTCAAAGTAATTGAGAAATACAGAATTTTTCAAGTTGAAAAGGTGTTGCAGGAACGTTTTTAACGATGTTTAGTTTTTGACTTTTTCTATTTCTCAGATTCGTATTGAAAAAATATGCCTGCTATAAAATTTGTAGTTCAGCCATCGCTCTTTCCAACAAAACTCTTTGATTAGTTCAGGAGTTGGGAACATGGTCTAGTAAGGTCGGACATTTTTCCAAAGATTTTTGCATTACATATTATTCTATATCCGAAAACAGAGTATATAACCTGAGGATACTTCAAAGATCATTCTTCTTTTCACTATTGATACCTAACTTAAATCATTTCGAAACGACATGTTACATGATACTGTAATATCATACTCAATCAAAAATATAGTATCAATCAGTCAATTTTAATAGATATACAATGAATAACGATGACTATATTAATTGAAACAATAAAAACAAATGATAATCGGTAATGAATGCCAAAAAATGGTCGCTAATACGTTTTAGTTCATCAAATAGAAACGTGGTTCCCTTACCAGGACGTCTCACGTAACTGTACAAAAGATTGGAAATTTTCTCGAGAAAGTACATAGTTTGAGAATTAGGACATAATCTACCAGGGCAAAGTAGTTTACCCTGGCCTGCTCTGTCCTCTGCCCTGTTATGGTCACCCTACAGGGAAAGCAGGGCAGGGCAAAAACAGAAGCTTGGCCCTGTATGACAGCGCAGGACAGGACTGCCCTGATCTGATGACGATCTCTGGTACGGATCGAAAGACAGAAAATTTAAGAAAAACTAAAACGTAGGATATCTTAGGTCAGGATTCGAGTATTTCCTGAAAATATTCCCAGTAAAGTTGGCAGCAACTAAGGAGTTATTGACCCCAAGTAGACCTCGACGAGCTCTATTGAATGGCCACCTTTCGAATGCAATTAAGTGCTTGCAATCCGCCGAAATCTGCTAATTCCTCCCAGAAGCTGGTCTCTGTAGCTACAAACCCGTCGTGCTTCGCTCATCAACTGGCTCTAACAAAACCAAGAGAGGCTCCTAGTAGAACTCTACGAACTCTACTCCATGGTCACCTTACAAATGGGATTAGATCGTTCCAATCCGCAGAAATCGGCTGTTTTCGTTCCACAAAACCGGGTTCTGTTGCTACAACTCGTCGCTATTCGGTCTGAATTAGTTTCTAACTGAGACACTACAGGTCAATATGAATTGTGATGTAGTTTATCGAATACAAAGATCATTAACTGGTCCAGAAACGCCTGGCCTAAAAAAATGACGCGAAATTTCGTTTGCGGTCAGTTTACCAGGCATTACCTGAATCCAGTAGAAAAATGGTGTAGATAAATTTTTCCTTCCATAAAATAGGAATTTCCAAGCACTTTTGTGCTAACACTTGCATAATGTAATGTATACAGTTCAGCGTCTGTACAATAGCTTTTTTTATTTCGTTGGTTTTTTTTTATTATTGTCGAATGCTTCATCATTCGGACAGTTACAAAGATATTCAGCATGCTTTTGAATTTTGGGAGCGCTAGTTATAAGATATATTGACATTAGCCCTTTCTCCACCGTCAGTATTCAAGGAAATTAGTTACTGGTCATTCGCTTCGTCCTATGGGCGGAAGAGATTGGAAATCTGATGATCTGAATGGTAGTGCACATAAAAACTAGGATGATTTTTTCGGTTCCTACAGCTTTGAAGACAAGAATAGAAGTGATGACTATCAAAGCGACTATTAAAAAAATCATTATCTGAGAAATACAATTAGAATTCAATCGAAGCACAAAATAATCTAATTACCAGATTGTTTGTCGTGCTTCTTTTCGTCAATCAAATCGCATGTGACTCAACTCATTAGAAACGGCTATTAAGTTCACGTCAGGCAGCCATTCCGACATTCCATGCATCTCTCGAAAGAATTATCAATTAGGCCAAACTTCACAATTTTTCGATTGGAAACTATTTTAAGGCCAACACTGACAATTTAAACCAAAATGAGTTCGAAATTCATTTGTTCCGACTCATTTCAAACTGGGTCCAGTCGTTGAGCGCATCCCGACGGGTTGTACCAAAAGAACCCGATTTTTCAGGCGGTAATCGGTCGATTTCTGTGGATTGGCAGCACCTAATCACGTTTAGAAGGTGACCATTGAGTACAGCTTGTCGAGTTTTACTTGGAGCCAACGACTCCTTGATTGGAGTCGGCTTCACTGCGAATGTTTTCAGGAAATACTCGAATCCTGACCTAAGATATCCTGCGTGTGTAATTATTGGAGTTTAGATTTTGATGTGAAGAGTAAAATCAGTTCGAGAAATTTATACTACAAGGAATATCGCTTAAATATAATTCTCATGACCTTCCGCGAAACATCTGTATTGAACATTGTGAAAACAGATAAAATGTCTTCTACTCAATTAGATGCTTGCCACACTAATAATTAGTACTTCGAAAAAAACATTTATGAAAGTTCAGGAATTTCATGACTCATGAATTTCTAGGGGGATTCTTGACGAATTTTTTAGGAGAAGAAATAAATTTTGAGGGATGAAAATTTAGTAAATTATCGTACTTTGTGTGCGCCAACTACACTGAATCGACGACAAGTAAAATGAAAGATTGTAGAAGGCTACATTGAATGTTAACGTTTTCTAACAGAACGAGAATAGCGATTTTGAGTTTTTGCGAGTGTTTTATTGATGAAAATGAATAAGATACAATGGGTTACATAAGCAATCATAATGATAGTTTACATCTGTTCAAATTATCGTGTTATATTAATGATGAGCCGATTTCATCTCATGTATTGGCACAACAATATTCATAAATTTTGGACAAAGACGAGCAGAAATCTTTTTGTAGATCGGAATCAAAAGCAGCTTGCAAATGACAAAAGTGGTTGCACACAATTCAAGACACAAAAATGAAAATAAGAGAGTACGAAATATAATTTCTGCCTGTTTGGCAATAGGTGTTTGATAATTTTTTATGTAATATGATGTTTCAGCTATGTTAATGGTAATTGTAGTTGATGTAAGATTAGCAGTCATTGTATACGTGTCAGCTGATATGAACATTTGACTAAGACTATACGTGAATGTCGGATACCATATACCTTCGAAAAATGAATCACTACCCGACAATGGTCCTGTTTCGTTGATAGCCTGTAGAAACGAAAAAGATTGACATATTTTCAAATCTATTCATTTGTCTTGTCAGCTATAAAAAAAGAACAAATATACTGAAATATTGACTGACCTTAGTGAGTCCCATACTTATTGTTGCTGCTTGACCAAGAGTTTCCGCTGATGGGCTATAAAATGATTGGCGAAATTTTAATTCTTTTAATGAGCAAAACTCGGTTTCTGAGCTTGGACCGTCCAGGCCAACCATGATGGCACCAACAACTTGAACTTCACTCAGCGTGGCCGTAATTTTTATGTCATGTTCTGGCAACAACACTCTTGCTAACAGTGTGCCATTTACCTGAGAGCATGATAAGAAACGTAGAGATACTGTTGCTGAATCAGTAACTTGTGAAATTGTAAGACTCGTACAAGTGGCAGCTGTATTGATGAATTGTAAATATAGAGTAAAATTTTGTTGATTCAATAAATCAAAAATGACTTGCTGGTCACTAGATATGGGCACAGCTAAAGCTTGAAGATTTGTTTCAAATTGAGCGTTTCGAATAGTAGTATCACAGGCAAAATTTGATGGTCCTACTGCTTCTGATGGATATTGATTCAAATATGAGAGGGCGAAAGCATAAGCCATTGCTGTGATTAAAATAATAGCTAGTGATGCCAGTCCGCCAATCCATAGTTCACCTTCACCCTACGAAAAACACATCAACAGTTAATTGAAACAAAAGAAAATAATAATAAAATAGAGAATTTTTCGACTCACAACAAGATCTGTTCTTTCAAAAATCATCTTAATCGTAAAGAATAATCGGTCATATTCATGTGATGTAACGCACAACCTGATACAACCCACGCTGATCAAGAAAACAAGTAACACAATGATAAGCATCATTGTCCAGAAAATTGGTGAAACTGAGACACAATGACCAGTTGAACCGATTGAAAACATATTATGAAGAAGTATATCTTCGTATATATTCAAGTCAGGTGAACGAGGATATGCATATGCTTGTGATACGGAAGTTAATAAACTCATATTTATTTCTAGGACAGCTCCCAATGGGCAAAAACCGTCTGACGAACATGGAGTACAAGCTGTGCCAGTCGTGCCACCTGAACTTTGTGATCCACTTGAATTTGATGATCCGCCTGAATTTTGTGATCCACTTGAATTTGATGGTCCACCTGAATTTTGTGATCCACCTGGATTCGATGATCTACCTGAATTTGATGATCCACTTGGGCATAATGTGCAAGGATGAACGCCAGCATCTGATTTATAAGTACCTCCTATGCATGTAGTTGAATGGCTTATTACAGGCATTGCAGCAGCTATGGGAGAATAAGTTGTGTCTGTTGATGCGTAAGAACCTGCGACTTCAGATAATACGATAACAACACCGCCGTCTTTATCGAGTACTGCAATTGATGATGGTGATGATACCATGCGAATTAATTTTGAATTGATCGTCGATGGTATTGGTTGTTGAGCATTAGGAAAAACAGCCGATGGTTTTAGAGGAATATTGCTACCACTTAAGTTTGTATATAAATAAACTGTCGACGAGTAATATGTTAAATAATTAGCCGAATAAGTTGTAGTAAGAATAGCGGCTTGTGACTTTGTTAACCAAGTTACACTTTTACCAAAACCAACTGAATTACCAGTTCCGAGTGAACTGGCCAAGGTGAGCGATGTACCACTGTTACCGATGACAAATAGAAAAACTGTATTTAAATAAGGCATTCCGACAAGTACTCGAGTTGGATCATCAGAATTAATTTTCACTGACATCGTATATTGACCACTCCGAGTATTACTATTTGAGTAAGTTAAACGTGATTGCCAAGAATTATTTGTGGCACTGTAAGACCATGTTGATAAGACAGTAAGGTTGCTATTCCATATTAAATAAACCGTAGGTGTAGCTCGTACTCGAGATCTGACTGAGCCTTCAACATAGCCTGCAACAATTGTAAATGTAGTACTTGCATCAGCAGCACATGGATAGAATGTCGAGTTGTTTGGCCAAATGGCACTACTCTGTTTAGTAGTGAGTGTTGTGCCAGAAAAAGGTCGATAAATAAAACCGAATTGTGTCGCTAATCCAATTGCATACTGTCCATAAGGTTCAACAGCCATGACAGCAAACTCTTGATGCCCATATGAAGAAATAAATGTAAGATTGGCAACTGCAAAATGATTACAAGATAAAGGTTGTCTGCTTGATATATGTTGTTGAACTGATTGTGGATCTTGATTAATCCACACACCAATAAATGTTCCATTACGTCCTGCACTATCAGTATTTGAAAAATCAGAAGATACAACTTCACCGGTGAAGTAAAAGTAAGGATTCGCAGTTGTATTGCAATTCGGTGCTACGCCTACTGAATAAACGTAATGTGTTGAATCATCAAAATTAATAGTACATTGAAGCGGGCCAATTATAAAATTATATGGAGCAAATTGAACAAGAAATGTTGCTGCATTACCATTTACTTCGACGAAAAGAACATCGTTGACAGCTATTTTAAGACCATAAGCATCATAATCACTTGTTGTGGGTGAAAAACTACTGATCGCTTTCAAAACACAACATAAATTAATCAGAATAATAAGAAGATACATGATTTTATTTAGTCTTTAGAACTGATCGAGACACTGGTTGAATCTTGCTTTTGAAGAATATCAAATGAATTTAAAAATAATAAGGTGAATAGTATACTGCAAATGCTTTTATAGTCTTCTTCAGGCAATTAAAGTAAAAAAAATATTACGTTTCCTTTGTTTCTCGAGACCAGGACTGTTGACAGTTTTCAGCAGAATTAGCAAAAAATAAACTTTGTCTTTTGATGAACGGAAGTAGTTGGCGACCAGTTTCTTTGCTCACTTTGCCTGATTAAATAATAGCACTTTTTTTTTCATCGATTCAGTGTTTGCCTACATACGTAATTGTTTAGATAGAATTGTTTTTCCTATTCATTCATAGCCAATGAATATCAGTCTTGTAGTTTACTAAATTATTCTCACGAGATACAATAAATAGACGAAAATGCATGTATTAAATGAAATGTACACATTGAAAAAATAATTCCATCTATAAGAAACACCTACATGGTTTGGTCACTTAAAAAAATAAAAAGCTTTTCTGATATGCTCCTATGCAAGGGGGGAAAAGCGGATTCCGTCTATGCGGGATACGGTCACAATCCAAAGGATACGATGGCGATACGTACGATACCATTGCCATCCAGCGGATACAGAGGATACGATTACAATCCAGAAGATATCTGTGAAAAGTTGAATTTAAATTTCAAAATAAAATTATTCAAATAGTTTGCTGCCTAATTGTTCATTTTCTAACATTGAATCTATCAATGTACAAGACAGTCGGACTAGTCGAACGATAGAAAAAGAGAAAAATAACAAATTTCTATCTAGCGTGTTCGTAAACAAACTTTTCCTGTTAGACATCATCTCGTAATTTTCTTGTATCTCGTATTCAAATTCTTATTTTACAATGCCGCCCAGTACATTAAATGTAAACATTACAGTCCTTCCTTCAGGTGTGTTATCATTATTTGATGAACCCTTTTATGAATTAGTTCGTAAATTAGCTGGTCCTGTTAAAGCCAAATTGCTTGAAGTGCAAGGTATTCGTAGTGCTTATTCATTAATCCATACTGAAGACATATTTGATATATTAAAGTATGCATGCAAAGCATTGGATGAAATTAAAAGAAAAGTTTGTCTTTTACTGAATGATAATCGGTATATTGTTAAACCTGACTGTAAAAGTAATATGCGTTACTTTACTCAATTACTCAATTTGAAGAATCAAGAGCATTTGAAATCAAGTGGTCTTCGAATGAAATCAAAAAACAAGCCGAATGATACTGACAATATTGGTTCATCAATATCTCAATCACCAGCACAAGTTCTTTCATCTATCTTCACCATTATCACCAAAGCACGGCAACACAAACAACAGGTTAGCATATGAAAATACTTGCTTCGATAAATTATACTCTTTTAGTCGTAGATATTTTTAACAATTACTATTTTTCCATAGTAATTACATTATTGGAAAAAAATGAGGAGAACCTTAATGTTCAATTAATTCTATTTTTAGGATAACTATGCGTCCCAAATCGCCTGCCACACGCTCCTATGACTTTATTGCATCACGAGAGCAATTATTTTTATTTAAAATATAGGTGAAGGAAAACAGAAAATTACTCCTCATTTTGTTAACTGCTTGCATAACAGAAGTTAATCAGAGAGAGTTATCAATTAAATGCCTAGAAAAAAATAAGAGCACGCAATTTTAACTATATTATGCTTCTATCATAGCCTGGACTTTGGTGAACATACTCAAAATTGTTAGACATATCTCAAAAGCAAACCTTTTCATGTTTATGAAGAAGACTAGATCTTGGTGTAGTAGAGATTTTGAATAATAGGTCATCATAACTGAATTACATATGTTGATATATCGACTGATTTATTTTCATTATTCAATTGTGCGAACAAAAATCATTAGTTTCAAGGTAAAGTTTGAATAATAGACCTAAAGTACTTGCGATTCAATCGAAATTTACTTTCTATATGATTAGAAATATAAAGAACACACCAACAGTTGTATTTTTTTTCGAAAAGTGATGTATCCTGATGAATTGCAGCAACAGACAGAATACCTATGACGAATATTGCAATTAACACAATCACAGATGAAATCGTCTCCATTTATATGATCAATTGCTAGCGGTAAAATAAATATTGGAGCTGTTTACTTCTAGATTTCTCAAATCAAAAGCCATAAGAATTACTCTATCGGTCTTGCGAATGCTGTGCTCTATTGACTTTATAGTACGTACAACGTAGACAGTTTTCTCTATGTGTAACAGTCAGTTAGTTTTGCTTCGATTGGGATTTTAGCATTGTTTCGTATAGTATTTTATATGATTTCGCCAATTTAATATTCAAAGATAGAAAGAACAATCAAATCGTTTGCCATTTTATTCCTATTTTTAGAACTCTATAACATACGATCTCGCTTATTTTACATAGAAACATATAGAGAAACTCAATAAGAGGGGTTGCCAAAAAAAAACAAATTTCATTCCTTCTAAGTACAGTAAACACCAAGAAAGAAATCTATATTAAACATACATATAATATTTTACTCAAGGAATTGTATTGCACTAGATTTTTTTCATTAAAATCATGCAATAAAATCGATTAAAACTCGAATGACAATTTTCATTCCCGGTTGATTATTTCAATATGAATTTTATGAGATATTGAGTTCGTGGGTCTCATCGGTTCAATAATCAATGATGAAAATTACGTTTCTGTAAAATTATAGTCTAACGATATTTTTCTTCAGCATAGAATTTATAGTAACTTTATCATGTGCAAAAAAGACCTCTAATTTATGAAGAAATGTTAGCCATTTCAAATTTATTACGCTTATCATTCTCTTCGAACTGCAAATGGTTACAATTAAAAATTACGTTTATTTTCTATTTTCAACTATCGATGGATTTCATCGATTCATACAAACGCATATTATAGTTAAGTTTAGAAAGTCGATTAAAATAAGAAATATTTATATACTAGGTCCTTTTTGTCGATAGTCCATACACATCTATAAAGAGTTATTCGTTTTTCGAAGCATACCATAAGAAATTGCCTATAAAAGAAATCACTAAATATAAGGGTTATGCTGATTATGGGTACTTTTTTTCAGCTAGTTACCTTTGCCGATAGATATTTGAATCTATTCATAAACTTCTGTAATAAATATTTAATGTTCGAGTCTTTATTTTATTAAAATTTTCCAATATTTTATAATAATGAAAAACAAGTGATGAATTTATTGTTCAAAACAATCAAATAATTGTCCCATTATATCAGTTTAGGTTGAGGATACTTGCTTAGCTAAACTATCGCCGCAAGTGATGTCACCATTCGAAAGTAGTACTACGCCGAGGCTTCTTTTTTCATTTACCATCATTGTATGAGTAACTCCCAGTATCCATCCACGATGTCCAACTAAATGTCGATTATTTTGATATAGCCAATTCCAAATCAAGCCGTATTGAACACTAGGTTCATCTAGTGAACCTTCTGGTCGGCTAACATGAAGCATTTCATTCATTAATGACACATTTTGAAGAAGATCAAGAGAAAAATTGTTAAGAAATAATCTAAGATAAATGGATAAAGAATGAGCTGACATACGAAGCATAGCAGCTGGATAAACACTAATACTATAATGAGGTATATAAAGCCATTCGGTTGAATTCGTAGCCTGCAAAATGAAAGTCTAATAAAAATAGTTCTTGGAAAAGATTTCTCTTAATTAAACAACGTTCAATTGTGGTATTATCTGATGATAAATACTTAGCAATGATACATTGTACACATACTGCTCAACTAAATCTGTTTTTCTCATTGCAAAACTAGACAAATCCATAGCTGACATCACTCGTTGAAATACCCAATGCATCAAGAATTCTTTGTCGAACATAATTTTCAAATGTAAGACCAGAAATTCTCTCAATGGCAAGAGCACCCCAAGTAGCACCGACATTCGTATAATATATTACATTGCCTGGTGCTTTAGATAGCCAACTTAATTTGTTTAAGAGATATCGAAGAAACGTAGCATATCTTAGGTCAGCATTCAAGTATCTCCTGAAAATCTTCGCAGTGAAGCCCGCTACAACTAAGGAGTTGTTGGCTTCAAGTAGATCTCGACGAGTTCTATCCACTGCAATGTTTTTTTTCTAACCTAACAATTTCCTTGCGTCCGGAAATCCATTTTTATTGCTAAAAAACAAGACAAAACACAGAAAACACAAATAAAATCTGTCGGGATGCGCTCAACGACTGGACCCAGTTTGAAATGAGTCGGAACAAATGAATTTCGAACTCATTTTCGTTTAAATTGTCACTGTTAGCCTTAAAATAGTTTCCAATCGAAAAATTCTGAAGTTTGGCCTAATTGATAATTCTTTCGAGAGATTAGGGATGCAACGGTGACGATCAAAAACCGTTCCACCGTCACCGTTTCACCGATCTCAAGCGGTGGAACGGTGAACGATTAATCGTCACCGTTGCATCTCTCGGAGAAATGCAGGGAATGTCGGAATGGCTGCCTGACGTGAACTTAATAGCCGTTTCTAATGAGTTGAGTCACATGCGATTTGATTGACGAAAAGAAGCACGACAAACAATCTGGTAATTAGATTATTTTGTGC